TTAAATATAAATATTCTTAATTATTCTTAAATATTCTTATATATTCTATGTATGACTTCTTAAAGCAACTTCTAAATGCTGCAAAATGTAGTTTAAATGAATTCCCATACTGATTTATATGAAGCCCTAAATAGAAATCTGCCTTGTTTGCTGCCTGTTACTGTGATTTTTTTTTTTTTAATGTTATGAAGAAATGCATATTTGTGTCATATTTTTCTGTTTAATACTTCAGCTGCAAACACTAGCTGTGGGCTGCCACTGAAAATGTTAAGGAAGACTCCGATATACACATGTGGAACGTACTTGGTGATGCTGGTCCCACCGCCAGGTGGATCAGGCAGTTCTGCGACACGCTCACTCTTTGGAGGAACAAGCGCTTTGTCATCTTTAAAAAGTAAGTCGGCTACATTTGTGGCAGATTTTAAATCCTTGGCTTTCTGAAATTCAATACAGCGCTCAGAAATTTATTGGAGACTTTTTTTTCTATGTAGTTCTTGCTTCAAGCTTGGTGTTCAATATTTCGGATGGGCAGTTCACAAGCCGAGCAGATCTCATTGATGCTGCAGGAAGTTCACTTGGACGTGGTGCTCTAGTTCCAGGACTTGGTAAGAAGTAGATCTTTCTTCTGGGAATAATCTATCTGGATTTTAATTTGCAGTAAGCAACTCTGCAGTTGGTGGGGTTTCATGTCTGTGGTGAAATTTTTTAAATTTAACATTTTTGAAAGTTTGGAATTCCCTGAAGGAATTTCCAGTATCTTGCTTTTGCAGTTTCAGCTGCACACAAGCTCAAGAAAAGTGTTTTCTGTAGCAGAAAAGAATCTTGAAAGTAGTCTAATATTTATACCCTGCTTATGCTATAAGGTGCTACAAAGTTTTGTATCTTATCTGTATACTTGAAAATACATAAATGCATCTTAGCTGGAAAGATGTGTATATATTTCTGATTTCCCTATTGTTTTATGACTGAAATCTCATGAGTGTTTTCTTTGTGACTCTTTTTTTTTAAAAACTGCTTAGTATAATAAAATAATCTTTCAAACAGTGCCCGTGCTACTTAAATACTGCATATCATTGCTGGCATTTTAATAAGCAGTGTTTTTATGTTACCTAAGAAAGAACTTATTTCTTAAAAATGTTTGAGATAAGTAGTTTTAAATAATATTCTAGATGCTGGGATGCATGGATACATATAATTGTATGTTAACCTGTTAGCTACTGTTGCTGGAGATTTACCTCAATCATGTGAAACATGTAGACAAATATGTTATTTTTGAAAATATGGTAAATGCCTCTGTCATAGAACAGTCGTGTCTATAATCCACTTGTCCCTTTCCTTTTACTGTTTTGGATCTACTTGTGTTTGTAGGCTTTAAGCCTTTTAGGAGATGAGTCTCTAAGCTTAAAATTTTTTTTAACAGTTGCACTGTGCAAACTGTCAGCTTTATTAAAGCTATTATGTATTAACCACAAGGCCTTTAAAACAAGTTCTAAGGTGCTTAATTGTCAATAGCTGTAGTAAAATAGATTTGAAACTTTTTTCCCTTATACTTTTTCTAGAAGTTACTAGTATCTGATGCCAGGCTCAACTATTTTTAGTTTATGCACTGTAGCAGTGTGTGATAAGTTTGTGCAGGAATAATATATGTTATTTACTTATCCTTATAAATAAGGAGCACTGTGGAGTATTTACCTGAAACAGATGCTGTTGTACATTTACTTGAAACATCAAAAGGGATGTATATTCACTTCATTCCTTTGTTAAGAAATCTCCTTTTAATGTTTTTCATCCCAATACATTGTTATTAAATTGCTGTCACATGACAGAACTTATAAAGCAAATAATTTGGATTTGTATCTGCTATAAAAATACTTTAGTCTGGCTTTCTAAAAAAACATTCCAAAATTTGCTGTGCAAAATATTTTCCTTTTCTTAGGTGCCTGTTATGATACTATGAATAACATGATATGGACATGCTCTAATGATTATATTGATCAGTGGTGCAATCCCGGGAATCAGGCATTCCATTGTGTCTGTCAGAGACTGGGCGTGAGTCATGTCATTACAGAGCCCAAAGGTGAGGTAAACATACAAGTCAGCATTTTATACAAAGTGGAAGTGAAATGTATTATTATCATAGAATAAATATACAGAAACTACCTTCTGAAAACTGAGCTAATTCTTGAAAAGTTGTTTATTAATATTGGTCATGGTTTATCTTTGCTTTAAGAAAGGAAGAAGCAAAAAGCTAGACATGTTTAGAAGTTTCCAGATTCTTGCTACCTTTAGCACATTAAAAAAGTGATGTGGGTAATTTTTTTGTTTATCATGTGGGCGGGTGTCCTGAAGTTAGAGATGATGCTGATATATTGCATTTTAGAAGCAAATGCTAATGCTATAGTCTGTGTTTGTAGACAGCATTTGAACTGCTTTTCTTCTTCTAGGGGATGCAACAACCACAAATGAGGTTATTAACCAGTTACTGCACCATGTTGGTGCCATGTGTATCCACCAACTCAACCTGCTTGCAGCCAGCAACAATCTTCCCATAACAAATTTTTTGGGCAAGCAACATCCAATTGAAGCACATCATCTCAGCAGTATTTGTGACATTATGGAAAAAGCTATGGTGAATGGAGATACTTGTATAATACGCTGCATCCTTGTTGTCTTTCAGGTACAAGGGCATCTTAAATGTACTTCATAATAAAGACTAAAAAAAAAAAAAAGTTGTTTTAGAATACAGTCAACCACTTGGTTTTATTAGGGTTTTTTTCCTCCATTGCATTCAGTGTAATGGAGATTGACTTAGCAGTGGCTTTGCTGTATCATATGCACCCATTTAAGAGTCCTAATTTAAATGTAAGTGTAATTGTCTCCTTTACAGATTAAAATAAAATCTATAGAGGTTACTTCCTTATTTCTCTCTTTTTTTTTTGTTTCCTTTTTTTGATCCAAAGTCAGTTTCTGACTCTTGAGATTTCTAGTGACCTAGACGAATAGTTTGAGAAACTGACTGCAGAAGAAGAGTTAATGTGAACAATGTTTAAGTTTTTAATATTGCTGTGTTTAATTTTTCTTAGGTGGTTTTTAAATTTTTCTTCAGCCCCCAAACCGAAAGAAACAGAGATATTGTTAGAAGGTCTGGCCTGTTACTTTGGCAGTTACTGATGGCACCAAGGGATCAGATTTGCTCTGAAATTCAGAAGGAGGTTTGTCTAGCTATTAGGTAAATACTTGTTTTGTCAAATTAAACTTAACTTAGATTTTAGATTATTTGAAAAATGTTGTAAGAGATGAATATTCAAATAGTATTCAACAGTTTAATTTTAAATTAGTGTGATAAAATTTAGGTTGACATAGTATGATAAAATTATTATGATTTATATCTGTGGAAGAAGGGAAATACAATGTGTTTGTCATAATGACGGTGAAATAACGGATAGTAATTACTTGCCATTTGTTGCTTTTTATTGGCTTTCTTTAGGGGTTTTTTAATGTTTGTAATAATATAGCTGCTAAATTCAAGCAAAGTTCTCTGCATTTCAGTGATGGCTAGAATGACTCCTATATTTAGCTTATATAGTTTATTGGTGTTCTGGAATAGGCAAAGCTAATGTCAGCTGTTACACCAGTGTTTCAAGTGACAATACTGAAATTCTCCTAAATAAAAGGAATGTAAGGGGAAGCAGAATGAAAAATACTTGAGGAATGCTGTAAGATTGAAGGCCCAGGGAAAAACACAGGCAGGGTAGTAAGACTGTCTTGAGAAAGTCAGAATTATGTTTAGAAAACAGGAATCTATTTTGGTAGAAGGGTGGGCATTATGCCTCTGGGCTGGTACACCAGGTCATCAAACACATAAACAGGATGGTTGCTTTAGCTCCACATCATATTAGCTACTGAGTCTCTTGAACCTGATGCTGTGTAATTTCCTTTCTCTGGCTTGTCAAAATAGCAGAATGACTAAGTACAGGGAAGCGAGCAAAAAGTGTGATTGTGTATCACGAAAACGAGATAATGTAAATCTCAAGGACAAGGAATGCTGTCTCAAACATCCTAAGTACAAATATAATCTGCTTTCAAGTGGGAAGTGCTCCAAAGGTTGAGAACAAAATCTTCTGCAGATCAACCTGCTTTTTTTTGTGTGAATCACGACATTCCAAATTTCAGTGTCTTTATGCAACTCTGTGAGTGAGTGAAGAAGAATAGCCTGTCTTTAGTATGATTATCTAGCATTTTCAGGGTCTTGCTTTTTGACAGGGAAAAGGGTATCTTGTCAACTGCGTGGACAGCTGCTGAATTTTCCCTTTGTTTAACTCTGTATCCTCCAATATCTTGTAAAAAAGTCACAGGTGGGGATTAGGTAATATCTCCTTCCTCCGGTTTTCTCATTGTGGGATTCTGATGCCAATGGAAACCTCAAACTTAGCCTGCAATGTATAACTTCTCCTGATGTTTGTATAGCAAGTTGGTCAGCATGAGCCAGAGGGAGGGAAACTGCAATAATCTCTGCTCTCAGTGTGAAGCTGAAAAATATACCAGTTTTCTTTTCTATGAGAGTGTTATTTAAAAAGAAAAGGGTAAAAGAAAAGAAGAAAAAGTCTGCATAATAGTTTCAACACTTCAGACTGTCACGAAGTGCTCCTTTTAAGTTATTGTGATCTTCTATCTTGATGTGGTAATTCATGTAGAAAGGACAAAGTTCGTCACAAAGGGGAAAAATACTTCCACAAGGAGTATTTATGCATAGCTGTGTTGTTTCTGAAATGCTAGTTCTAGAATCTTCTGCTTAGATTAAACTAAGATTTTTATAAGGAGCCAGTCTTTAATAAAGATAGAACTGTAACAGTAGTGCTTCTTGATTACTCTCTTGCATTTTCCATTGTTCTTATCACAGATAAGCCATAGCTGTTACCCCATTACCAGAGTTTTGAGTCATTCTCTAAGCCCTCATCCATTTTTTTCTGACATATGTCTGTTTCTTGAAAAAATGATTGTGCTGTCTTATATACAAGTGATTAATGTGGAGTTTCTCAGAGGGAAGCAAATAGCTCTTGAAGAAGCTCTGGGACCGAAACAATAAAATATAGTTGATTACAAGAGATTTCTGGAGAAAGCAGCTGCATATTTTATGACTAATACAAATGTTAAAATATGGAGGATGCCTTTCTAAGTTGGAAGAAGCTATTATATAGTCATTCTAAATGCTACATCAGATATGAAGTTGAGATTCTATGATGCCATTTTTCACATGTCAGTTGAAATTATTTTGTTCACTTTTAAATATGTTAAGTAATACATGTTTGGGGTTTTTTTTTTCTTTAGCTCTGGTTTAAATATCCTGTATCCTGGAGAAGCAGAAATCAATAATTTATTGAAATTGGTCTTAACTGAAGGTAAGAATGTCTTATTGATATGTGAGAGTGTGGTTTTTTCTAATTGAAAACAAAAAGTGTAAATACTTCTCAACCTCTAGAGGACGAACAGTTCAGAATATTGAGCACTAGTCTGCTTTAAACCCATCCTATTTAAGGAAATTATGGAATCCTTCATATTCTGAAGCTGCCTTCCAAATGGCTGCATGGTCAAGCATGTTTTAGGTGTAGAAAAGGAAAATTTGTTTCGATCAGGCAGCTGTTTGAAATGGAAAAGGATTAAAGTTCTCTCTTGTCAGCGTTAATAATGTTTCTTGTCCAGGTTGTATTTTAGAACACCTGCTTAGCAGTTAGTGTTACCCATGGCAATTACACAGTAACCAGAGGTAATTTTAGTCCTTAGTGAAAGAGTAATAATCTACTTGTATTCACCATGAAATGGGAGTCTGGACTTATAAGCAGCTGATGCACAGTAACTTTTTACTTCATAGGAACATGTTCACGCATCAGTCTTTGGTATTAACAGTGCTATGTGCAGAGTAAGTTTTAACAGTCTGTAATATCAACAGGGAATTGGGTTACACTGTAAATATAGTAATTTCTGAAAAATAGCATATATTAAACAAGATATCTGAGGAAATAAAAAATAAATTAATTCTGTAAAATGCTGTTTTGCAAAAGTTTTTGCATTCCATTTTAGGAGAGAGAAATAGTGGTCTCTCTCAACTTCGTGATGTTATCCTGACTAATCTGGCTGAACAGCTTCAGAACAACAGATTTGGAAGTGAAGATGATGATCATTATAGGTAAACTGCAACAATATGCTCCTCCTCCCCCCACTTATAATGTATGTTTCTGTTATTTGCTTTAGGTAAACTTGCATAATATTCTGCTGAAATTGCTTGTTATCTTCATAGCAGCATGACCTGAAATACTATCTTTGTGTCCATGGTGGGTAGGATTTCATTAGGACAAGGGAGAGAGAGGTTTGACTGTTTAGGGGAAACTTTGGGGACCTCTGTATGCAAACTGAGGTTTGGAGTCACTGCTACTTACCATGTTTATGCTAAATGTGGATGATAATTCATAAGTACGATATTATGACGTTGCTCTCCATATCACTTTTAGGTGATTTTTCAGCAGTAGAACTGTCAATCTCAAGTACCCATTCAAGTTGGGACAAGTCTTTTTTTTAGGAGTCATTACAAGTAATAGATTTATATCAGTGCAGTGCAGGAAATCTCTGGTAGTCTGTTGCATTGATTTGTTGTTAAACATTTTGGGCTTGGTTTTCTTTGTATCTGAATCTCTGAAGTTGAACAGATACTTGGTTTGGTTTCACATAATTTATGATACAGCTTGCAGAGACTTTTGAGATGAGCGATACAAAATATACAATAATTAGACTATTAACATCTTGCATCTTTCCTGCATTTTTTGAAGACTAAATGATGAGCTGTTGCACTACATTCTCAAGATTGTTGTCCGAGAATCTTGTGTCTTAATCACCAAGTGCCAAACTGTATCTAAAGATGATTTTCAAAGGCTTCTTTCAACTGTGCCTGTAAGTAAAATGTGTTTTGATAAAAGTAAATTTGCCTTTGGCTTCCCTTTCCGCCTTAAATCCACCATCTTTACTGAGTATATAGAGGTGGAACTTTTATAGCTGTGTGTCTTAACAAATACAGGAAAAGAATGTCTTTTGTTTATGCTGTGCAGGAAAGAAGAAACAATTTCTTATAGCAAAGTAAATCATACAGGAATGCTAAAACAGGTTTATATATGAATATATTTCCCAATTGCTCTGGTAGCTGTTTCAATTTAAAGGAAGTTTGTGTATCTCCATCTTCAAAGCATTACAACAACTTAAAGAACAAACTCTTTCTACAGTTGTGTATAATGATTCATACAAGCAGAAAGGATTATCATTTACAGACAAAAATGAGTGAAAGTTGACCTTACTTAATGCTAAAAGTATGCATAGATGTTCTCAGCAGGATCAGCTCCCTGATCTGGCTGATGGCAAAGGCAACTGAGCTCTCGTGCGGACACTGGGGAGGGGACAGGAAGTCATGGCCTGCAGGAGGATGGGAAAGGAGTAGTAGCATGGAACCATCACCTTCAGGAATGTGAATTAAATTTAGCTCTATGGTGGCATTATCTTTTAAGAATTAATTAATGTTATGGTACTGGAATGTTACTATAATGTGACATCCTTGAATAAAATGGTACTGCTTCTTTATATGTTTTGCAAGTTACTTTTGCAAAATTCAGTGTTTTGCAACTAGTTTCTTCTTTTAAATATGTATTAAACAAGCTTGCCTTAAATCAGCAAAAAAAATTTCTGTTTAAGGGAAATTATTTTTTGCTTTTGCTTGTCCTGTCCCTCAACTTTTTTCCTCTTTGATATTTAAAAGTACAAGGATTGCCTGAATCAAGGTTGATTAAAGGGTTTGGATAATGTAAAGTGTACTTATTTATGTTAAAGGCTGCGTCTTCGTGTTTGCGGTATCTGATGGCTGTACAGAACCACCTCCTCAGTAACACTATTTTGATTAAACCTGATGAAAATGATGACAGTGACAGCTCCTTGCAGGGAGAGACATTGAAGGTACAGGTAAACACCAAGTTTTATTCTAGTATGGCTCTCTACAGTCAGTGTTCCTGTGACACCTCTTGTTTCTGCAATGCGTTCTACTTTACACTGTTTTGTTGTTTCTTTTCCTCTTGATATAGTTAAATTACTGTAGACATGTTTTTCTCCTGTTCTCCAGCTAAAGTCTGCAATTGTTCTGTGTTGAGTTGAGTTCAACCCAAGAACCAGCTTAGGTTCTGTATTGTCAGCGAGAGCAGACACTTCCCTTCCTAAATATACATATAATGAAGTTTAAAATGTATTTTAATTGATACGTGCTAGTAAGAAAATTCATCTACCAGGAATCCTTTCTGGACACATTACTTTCCCCTGGTTTCTCTTCTCCAAATCACTTTAGGGGGTCTTTGAAAAAATACTTTTCAGACTTAAATAGAAAAGGGTTTTCTCATTTGCCTTACCTGGCTTTTGCTTTTTTGCAGTTTTAACTTATAAAGCTTACGTAGAACCACCTACATCTGTTGTCTGAAATAGCATGAGTAATGTTTGTGGCAAGGAAACTGTTTAGAGGACAAGGTTTGCAGACAGTGGTTGTTTTGTTGGTATAAGGTTTATTAAAATGGTGTCATTTCATATTACTGCTGGAATATCTTGAATGCACTCACAGAAGCCAGGTTTGTCCTAGCATGCAGTCATAGTAGTTTTTGTAATAGCAGCAATTCTTCTATAATTGTATTGACTTCTGAACTTCTGGTATTGTTTGTTAAGCTGGTTTTGTCTGCTACTCTTTGAGAGTTTGTGTGCTTGCAATCTGCTGCAGTTGAAAGTTATTTGTTCAGCCTCATTGAGTAAATGCTAAGTATCGTAGTACTTTTCTTGTCTCACTATTCACCCATGTTTTCATTGTTCAGTTTCTCTCTCTACAGTGATCCTCATACCTGCTAGGACATTCTGTCACCAATGCTGTACCTTGGCTGGCTAACAGCTCTCTCCTGTGCTGGACTTGGGGATTCCTTCCCTCTAGAAACTGGATGTGCATCCTGTAACATATGCACCTAGTTTCTCCCAGCACTTTGGGGCTTAGCATTAATCAAATTTAAGTCTTGGATGAATCTACTGCTGCAGGCCTGCCAGGTCACATTATCATTATTTTAATTTGGAAATCCATCGTTTTGTTCTGTTGTCCTTTTTTTGTATTCTCTAAGAATTTAAGTATCCTATAACTCTCTTTGTACCTAGGAGCTAAAGACCAGCATTTTGTCTCTTGCTACACAAATTCTGACAGGATGTGATGAAGTCTTAGAAATGCTGCAACAAGTCACTACAGCACTAATAAACAGTGACATTTCTGATAGAGAGCAAAGGTAAGATGAGTATGAGCATGTTACCTTGAGAACAGGAAACTGTTGCTTTTTGTGGCTTATTGTACAAGCACAGTTAGCATTATTTCTTCTTTATGTAACAACTTCATACTTGAGCTTTGAATGTATAGGAACTGTTTCTTACTATAGCATTTGCTTAGCACTTACCTTTTGAAGAATTTAGAATGACTCTGCATGTCAGTACTACTAGACTGATAATCGGTAGAAACTCTTCAAATTGGTAAGGTTTTAGTCAGTTACAATGGTATTTATGAGCAGAGTAACTGGAAACAAACTGTAGTTAGTCAGCTGGGAATATTCCTATAAGCTAGGGCAATTTTTTAATTCTTAAATTCCTGACTATTACACCTCTACTAGCTGGACTAGATATTTTTTCCGTGACAAGTCTTGGATGTTGTTATGATATCCTGCATGTTTTGTCGGATAGTGTCACCTTGCCCTTCCCTGTCTTCCCTCCACTGAAAAATACACGTTGGGAGTGGGATGTAAACAAAAGCTGTGAACCTTTTCTCTAGTTAAACAAACACCTCCCTCTTCCAGTTGTGTTTCAGATTTCAGTTTCTATGCTTTCCTGTGCCTGCAAGATTAGTTTTGTTTATTGACAGTACACAACTCCTTTGAGATGTTTTCAGATGGGTTTCATGCTCAAATGTATTTTTGTAAATATGGATTCTTTTAAAGTACTTCGAGCTGTGTGTGCTAGCAGCCTGATATACATACTGAACAAATGCATTTGTGTTTGATGTGGACTTTCATCCCATGCCCATGGGACCATATAATTTTCTAAGTAATTATTAAACTCTCGATTTACTGTCTTCTGGTCTATCATTGTTTAGTAAGAATTGACAGCAAAGACTAGGATGAAATTTGGAGAATTTGTAATGTTTTCAAGATACTAAATTTTGGTTGTTTTTTTTAAATATACTGCAAATGTTCTGTGCTGAATTTTGAATTGCCTACTTACGCAGTCAGTTACAAGATTAAACATATGACTAAAAATAGTAGTGATACTGTATGAAAATAGTTGTTACTATGTAAACCTTGACTCTCCTTATAGATTAAAAGGCCTGGAACAAATTACGAAGGCTACTATGCTTGGTCATCTGCTTCCCGTCCTACTGACATCTCTGATGCATCCAAATTTGCAAACTCTAACTATGGCTGATGCCTTGATGCCTCAGCTGGTGCAGCTGGTTCTTTACACAAGTCAGGTATGGTCTTTGTGTCAGCAGTTGTCTACAAAGGAAAAAAGATGCGGCATGCATGTTCTAAAATGCTGTAGATTTTGGTCAGCTTTCTGCAGTAAGTGAACCACAGATCATACTCTGAGAATTGCTCAACAGCTACAAAAGCTGATAATGCTGAATATTAAATTTTACTTGGTACAACAGCTACTAAATAATGATTTATTGTCAGTAACAACATACAGTGTAACTGTTAATATATTTCAATAATGAGATCTTAAAATGATTTGCTGTTAGCATGTTTCTAACACTATAGTTTGTGCCACAGACTGCACTGCTGCTTAAAACTCAGTCTCCAGTTTTCTCAGAACTGAACAGCTCCCCCAGTGGTGCATCAGAACAGAAGGGGAAGCTGTTACCTGACGAGAGGTGATTTTCTTCACATTTGGGTATTTTCATGGGATAAAATATCTTGGCTGTAACGTTCATTTGACCATTACTGTGGGATAAATCTTAAAACAGCAATCTCTCTCTCTCTCTTTTTTTTTTTAAAGGCAAAACTGTAATGGTTTGTAAGGCTGTCTTAAAGATATATAAGCCTTTATAAAAGGCAATTAGTTCTAAAATTTTTTTGCATATAAAATTAAAGTGTTAGTATCTTCAGGTTGTTTGCACAGGGTATGGTTTGTTTTGTTTTTCCCCTCACCTCAAGCATTAGGGATTAATTCTAAATGTTCCTCTTACAATAAATTAGGCTAAGATGGACCATCATGAGAAAATGTAAATTGCTCTGGCAGCATGAGATACAGTATTAAAGCCATTGGAAAGACATTAAATGGTTTCATTTTCATAAAGAAGTATAATGATTTTATGTCCTGCATTTAAATCCTGTGTCTCAGCTCGAAGTTATACAGCTTCTGCTTAGAAACAGTAACACGCAGCTAAATTAAATTAAAAAGTGCTTATCATAGCTATTTGCAGTGTTGCAGAATTTGTAGTATTAAACAGCTTGTGATAATGTATAGTATACTGTGTGAAAACTCAGAAGAATTTATTTTCAATCCTCCTCCAAATTATAAACTTCAGTGAAATTATGACAGTATAATCAGTTTTGGGTGCTGTCCCAGGAAGTAAGGGGTTTTTTATGCTACCAATCGTGTGTTAGAATCTATATATAGTGCCGTTTACGGGTTTTTTTATGGTGCTACTTAGCTTGTTTGCCATAATTTGGAAATTGGAAAGCATAGGGAAAAGTTCAGATTTTACAGGTTAGAGATTGGCATACTTATTTCTAATGTACTGAGTTCGCACTATTTAAGTTCTCCATGTTCCCTCATTAAAGTTATGCCTAAAGGAGTCAATACTTTGTGTCACTATGTATCAGTACTGAGAGGTGATTTTAAGTACTTTATAGTTTGATATCTGAATATATAATAGAAATCTGTGTGTTGAATTTTAGGACTAATTTTTCACTCTAATTTCAGAATGCTGGAAGAGAAAGAAGAACCAGGTTTTCTTACGGGTTTGAAGATCCCGGCTCCCTGGGCTGCTGGGAAGACTGTGGAAACAGTTCATCCCGTCAGGGATAACTATAAATTTAAAGAAACTGTACATATTCCAGGAGCCCGCTGTTTATATCTTAGATTTGACAACAGATGTTCTTCACAATATGATTACGATAAGGTAAGCAAGGGCCAATTCAGAAATTCTTTCTTTTGTATGTTTCTGTGAGCAGCACTTCCATTTTCATCTCTTCTACCCCTTGTCTTTCATGGCACCTGATTTACAGTTATCAGGATAATGCAGGAGGTTTTTGATAGGAGCTTATTAGTGTACACTATAATGTCACAGTCTACTTACTTCAAGGATGTAAGGTACAGGGATGCAGAGAGGTTATTTCTCATGTGGCACAAGTGTGAATAACTTTTCAAAAGAATTCTTGAGTTTCATTTTAAGACTAGACTTAGCTAAATGATAGAAAATGTACAAAGAATTGTTGACATGAAAAGGCAGGAAGGTGAAGAGAAATGGTTCATGTTTAACTTCTATTATGCTTGAAGAAACAATCCAAAAAGAGCATATGCTTAATTCTTCTTGTGTATTGTTTCAGGACATAATATCCAGTGATTGTTTCAATGTTTAAAACCTATCAGTTATGAGGACCTTTTGTTAAGAGTTAGGCTCTGTAATTAGGAAGTTTCCTCAAAAGATGTCAGAAGTAGTGATAGTTCTGAAATAGGAGAAATGTAGTAGGCTCCAGAGGTGTGGAGTTTGGGGGCAGGGAGGGGTTGTTTTGGTTCTTCCCCCATGCCTCAGATATTCATACCAACTCTTCAATTTTTTTTTTTTATGTTCATTTTGTGGTGGCTCAGATTGACTTCCTTCTCATTTTTGCTGTTGTTCAGTTTTCCTTATTTCTCAAATTTTAAGTTGTTTTGGTTCTTCCCCCGTGCCTCAGATATTCATACCAACTCTTCAATTTTTTTTTTTTTTATGTTCATTTTGTGGTGGCTCAGATTGACTTCCTTCTCATTTTTGCTGTTGTTCAGTTTTCCTTATTTCTCAAATTTTAACGTAGCTGCCTACTTTGAAGATCAGCACAATTTGTTTAAACTGGGCAGAACTGGAAAGGTTACTTTTTCCCCCCCGATGATAAATGGCTTGTTTACATGGATTAATATAAATAAGTATTTTCAATTTCAAGAACACAACTAATAGCACTTATTTACTTTGTATAATCAGAGAGCTACTTGTGCTGCTTACTAATTGTTGCCATATATTCTTCAACATAGAGCGAGTCCTGTGATACTCACTCCCATTAGTTATTCATAAGTGTCTTGAATATTAATGTCACCCATTACTGGTTAAACTCCTTCAGAAAACTTTAAGCCTCGTCATGTTCACACTGAAGTCACTGACAAAATATTAACTTTGATGGGAGCAGGATCAATCCATTTATTAGTGGAGAGGCGGTATGTTCTAGTTAGCTCAGCATGAGGACTGGAAGTTAGGATTTCTCCTAACAGCTCCCAGTTCTGCTGCTGACTTGCTGTGTGACCGTGGGGGGAGGTCACTCAATTTCCTCTCCGCCTCAGTTTCCCCATCTGTAAAATGGGGATAATAATACTTGCCTACTCACCTCACAGGGCTGTTGTGAGGATTTGTTAATGTTGATAAAGCGCTTTGAAAATATAAAGCGCGGTGCAAGTGCTAAGTATTATTATTATTATTAGATTTTCTTGTTTTTCTCTTACAGTCTAACAGTGTATTTTATGTTTTGAAGTTGGTGATCTATGCTGGTCCTAACACAAACAGTAGGAAGGTTGCTGAGTATGGAGGCAATACACTGGGATATGGCAGCCGTAGTGTCTTAGGAACTGGTTGGCCGAAAGACTTAGTAAAGGTACAGTATTATAATCCAACAATATTTCACATAGAAAAATCCCCTTTGGAAACCATGTCGAGTCCATTTTAACCCTTGTAGCAATGAAGTCTAAGCTTTTAAGTGTACGGTTATCCATGATGAGATCACTTCTTAAGTGGGCTGTTATGTCCTTGGGGAATAACTATAAACTCAACTGTATGTTATGTGTGATGCTTCTCTTTGAGCTTATCTTGTTTTGCTATGTCTTACTGGAATTCGTTACTGGTCTGTTTCAGTCCTGGAGTTTCTAATGGCACTACTGTTCTCATAAGTGTATCTTTGTAGGAGAAGCTCTTGCACATGCTGAGGGTGTGCATATTTTCTTAAGGTCCGTGGGCATGACTGCATTTTTTTAACAGTAACCCACATATATAACAAGTAGCAAACATAGCAACTTTCCAACCATTTGTGTTGGGTTTTAAAATTACATTGGACACTTTTGGTAGCAAAGCTGACAGAAAAATCCCTCCAACTTCTTGAAACTTCAGTGTTTCAAGAATTTTGCAGTATGTTCCCTCAGACTGTATGCAGTATGGGTTTTTTTCCCTTATGTGTTTGTGCTGCTACATTGTCCCACACTAAAACTGGGCTAATATACATAACAAAAAATAATTCCAAAAAGAAAAAAAAAAGTAGTAATAAACTGGAAAGCAATTTCAGACAAGCACTCCATTGTTCACAATTAATGGAATTTCATTTATTTTTCAGACATAGATTTTTATACTGGTCTTTTAGCAAACTCTTCTATTAATGTGTTGACATTCTTCTCCTTGAAGAGCTTGTCTGTCTTCCTTCAGGAGGAGAGCTGTTGATTATTGCATGGTTTCTTGCAGACAACTAATGAAAGCTTTTTGATGAAAATCAAGGCCAAGTAACACAGACTGATAAACTCTACTTTTGATCTTTTGATTCTTTCTTTTGTTTTACTGTAGTTAGCCAGCAGCAAAATTAAAATAAAATTGTCCACTAAAAAATATCCTTACAAAAAGGGAAGAATCTTAAATCAGAGTATATAATTGGAGATAAAAATAATATTTAGATAACTGTCATTAAAAACATTAATCCATAAAATAAGCCACTTTTATGAAAAGCCTGTTTGTTTGCCTCAGTTCTTAAATGTGTCTTCTCTTTTTCTTTTTTTTTCTTTTTTCCCTCCCTTCCTCCCCATCAAAATTTTAAGGTGGAAGGAGATACAGTCACCTTCTCCTTTGAAATGCGGAGTGGTCGTGAGCACAACACTCCAGACAAAGCTATGTGGGGCTTTGCTTGCACTGTTCGAGCACAGGTACTCAAACATGACAGATTCAATGGGATAGGTTCAGCTTCAATTTATCTTCTGTCTGTTACACACTTCAGATCAAATAGAAATGTACTTCAAGGTTTGACGTTAACATTTGAAATTTAAAACAGTAATAGCTTGCTTATTTTGGCAATAAGACAAATCATCTTGTTACAGTGTAAAGGACCTAAGTTTTACATATTTGACTTCCTTAGCTAGAGATACCCTGTGGCATGGTCCGTAGCATGCTTAGGGTTTATGAAGATAGTTATTCCCAAATATGTTTTATCTCTCTCTTGTCATTGGCACTGGACTTGGATGAAGTCACTTTAATATCTCTTGCTGCTTGTAGAGCAGGATTTCTTTGGAGAGACAGGTATCTTGTAACAACCTGGAAATCGGAGATTTAATGGGGCAGTAATTATTCCAGCCTATAAAGAAGAGAGGGGAGGGATGCTGGGATCATACTAAAGGAAACTTGAATCCTACTACCAGGAAGCTAGGACTGGGCCTGTGAGATGACAGATCTGCAGGCCAAAGAATGACTGAACCAAAAATAACTTTACCTTTTCTTCTCTTTCTTGGTTCAGGAAAATAATGTTTAAATCCTTTGTATCTTATCTTGAGTTGTTCTTATATATTGCTTTTAATTGTTAAGCATTTTTTCAGTATACCTCTGTGTAAGAGACATATGATTGATAGATACCTATCTTTTATATCTATATCATTCATATGTAAGATTATATATAAAATCTCCTATCTTGAAATGTATTGGGGAAGGACTTTATGGTTGGTTGATTAGTGCAACCTATCACTGTTCCTACTACAGGAGTCTTCAGAGGATGTGTCAGGAGGCTTGCCATTCTTGGTTGACCTGGCACTTGGCCTTTCTGTATTAGCTTGTTCTATGCTGCGAATATTATACAATGGACCAGAAATTACCAAAGATGAAGAAACATGTCAAGAGCTCTTAAGATCTAAATTATTACAAAGGTAAAAAAAAAAAAAATTTGATCCGAGTTCCCATGTGGGTTTTATTCTGAGGAAAGGTGACTTTTGTAGTTGTGCTCAAGTCTCCTGTTTTAAGGTGATGTTTTGATAACTTTTCCTGCAGAGCTTGTTCAGCAGTTCTGTGTTGCCTAAAACTAAGGGAATGTTTTTTCTAGAACAGAGGTTTTCTTTAGAGTAAGTAGCGGAGGATTTGGGCTATGCTTGGTACAAACCACGCCTAATATGTTAATATGTAGTCTGTCTTTGTAATGTGTTGTTGACTAATGTGTCTTTCTGAATGAGGGGAGAGAGCTGGGGGGACGCACACACCAGAACCTTTTCATCTGTTTCTATTTATTTTTCCAGGTGCCAGTGGCAGGTGGAAGCTAATGGTGTAATATCTCCAGCCCTTACACCAAGTCCTTCTCCATTGCCTCTTACTATAGATGAAGATAGAGAATTTACATATCCTTCTGATGTTCTAGTGCCTCCCGTTGGACACTATTTTGATCTGCCTAGAATTAGGCTGCCTCCAGGAATCATGATAAAGCTCAGGGAAATTTCTGGACGTGCTCGGCCTCAGTTTAGACCTAGTATAAAGTAAGTAGTCATTGTTTTGCTGTATTTTTCTAACTTGACTTTTATTTTTTGAAATATTTGGTGCCAAAGAAAGAGAGCTAAAAAAGCAATGGTAAGGATGCAGCATGTCTGTCATGTATGATGGTATGCATTTAATATTCTGTAAATACTTGTTTGTGAATGCAGCATCTAGTGAACTGTAAATATGAATTGTCAAAGTTTGTCCGTTATTCTTGCTTAATCAGTTTGGCTTTACCTATAACCCTAGGGAAGTGATTCAGCCAGAAGTAATGGAGGAAATGGTAGTTTCATGTGTGATTAAACATTTGAATTTGGTTGATGCACTCCAGTCCCTGATAAATTTCCAGTATCAGGAAGAACATGCTGAAGAATATGATTTACTTTGTAAAATTATGGGAGAGACCTTTAAGAAGCTAAATGCCATGGAGAGACAATTGCAGGTAAAAATAAAATTACACAAAAAACCAGAAGGCTTTTTTTGAGAATAAAGGTGTATTAACAGCATTTTAGAAACATAGAAATGTACTCGGATTTCTTCTTTTAAGATCTCTCTTACTCCTTAAGATGAACAACTACAATAAGTGTTGTTATTTGTCTCTTTATTAGAGTGTGGCTGAGCTGGAGCAGAAATGGCAGAATGAGGTAGATGACGCCATGCATGGGAAGCTGGAGAACAATGTCCCATTCTTTTACGATTACCACTTCAATGAGGTAAGCATTGTGGCTGCTGTGTGTGCTCATGCTTCATGCTGCTCTCTCAATACCTGTTCATCCTTTTCCTTCACTTTGTTTAGAGCAAGATGAAAGAACTAGAACTTCTGTGTTCAATGAAAGAAGTTTCTTTTGATGGAAGCGATCTTGAGAATGTGGTCCTGGCATTAAGGTTAGTAGCTGGCTGTGGAATGTACCATTTAGGCAAGGTACTTAAAAGATAGGCAGCTTTATGCAGCTGTGGAATTTCAGCGAGTTCCAAAAATAGGTATGCAGGGTTAAAGTTGCATACATACATAAACACTTATTGAAGTAGGCACTTGAATTTCATTGTACCCTGTGACACTTAATGATGTGAAACAGAAGCTGGCACTAAATGTTTCAAAAACATTTTATGTCTAATTCCATTATAGGCTGATAGACCTATAGAAAGAAAACAATCTTTGGGAGCAGCAAAATTCAGATGAACTTCTAACCAGGGATGCAGATACTTTAAAACTTAATTTTCTTTTCTGTCTAGCAATAGCTGATTAAATTCTTAGAAAAATTTGTGCTAAATATATTAATATTACTACCTATAGCTCCTAGTACTTACTAACAAACCATTTGGTTATTTATTTTTTCTGCTTTCTACTTTATTGGCATAGAATAGTTTGATGCCATATGTTTTCTTTAAAATAACCTTTCTCACAGTAACGCTATTTCAGAAGGCATTAAAGCATAATTGAGTGTTCACTGCTTTTATTTTTCTTTCATAATCTTAGGGAGAAGTTTTTTCAAGAGGTGAATTCACTGATACAGAAGACTTCGCATCCCCTAGCAAAAACGAAAACATTAGTTAAGAGCTTGATGAACAGAGCAGAGCTATTACTACATGTCACTATTGCAGCACAGTCTGGTATCACAAGAAGTATATCTGGTACCCCTGCAGAGACTCCAGGTATATATCTCATTACCAACATTGTATGTTCTTTTTTTTTTCCCTGAAGATAAAATTTATTCCTTTTCTCTTATTTTCCCTCTTAAATTAACTTTTTTTTTTACTTTTTCAAATTAAATAAATTCTTTTACAGTATATGAAATTGAGTCTTTGTTTTCTGATTTACGTAATGATAAATTAAGGTCTGTGTAATAATACATGGAATTTTAAACTTTAGTGTCCTGAATTATTGGGGGAAAAAATGCTTAACCTATTCAAAACAAAACTAACTTGAAACAATACCTGAAAACAGGAAAGTCCTCAGAACTGAGTTGCAAGTTCTTGCTTAGACTGTGTTTTCCCCATCCTGTGTTATAGCTTTCACTGGATTGTCCACAGTGATTTTAAAAACAGTTTCTAAATAACATCCTACACCAGGAGTGACATTCTTTCATATTGTGTAATATTGCAGCCTGTAAATCGGCATCTGAAACAAAAGTGATATCTCATGCAGTCCGCCAGCCTGTCTTCCTTCGCAGCATGTCAGCACCATCTGACTTAGAAATGATTGGTAACGAAGATACCGAGTTTGCTAGATCAAGTCAAAGGTATACAAGGGTTTATTCCACTAAGCTGCTTTACGCTAACATGGCCTGTGTTGTTAAAATCGCCGTAAACTTTGCAAGCATAAAACTTTTTTTTCTTTTCATTGGATCAATTTACTGCTGCCAGGTGTAATTATCATATATTCTCTTAGGCGACGCCATGTTACCAGCCATAGAAGTAGCTCTTTCACTCTTCTCCAGTCACTGACTATTGAGGATAGCAGAGATAAACCCACGTACAGTGTCTTACTGGGGCAACTGTTTGCTTTCATTGGAACGAATCCTGACCAAGCGGTATGTCACTTTAAATGTGCTAAATAATTATATTTTCAAATTCCAACTTCCACAAGGAAGGGAGGGGTCTTGCTTGTGTCTCATTAATGAAAACAAACAAACAAAATCTTGTAGGTGTCCAGCAGCAGTTTTCTGCTAGCTGCTCAGACAAGGTGGCGTCGTGGGAATACAAGGAAGCAAGCCCTAGTGCATATGAGAGAGTTGCTGACGGCAGCTGTTCGGGTTGGTGGTGTGACACATCTTGTAGGCCCAGTGACCATGGTACTTCAGGGAGGACCAAGGTTTGCTTATTTCTCTGAAAATAACTAAATGTTTCTGGTCTCTGTAGAACAGAGTAAATTGCTTTGCACAAAGAAAACCCATGAGAAGTCACTAGCTGTGAGGGCTCAAGCTTGCAGAACAAAGCTTGCAACAACCACTTTTATTGGCCCTTGTGGGGTAAAAAGGCACAAACTTCTAAGAAATGCTTTTATTTGGCAGTAGATGAAATTTCCTTTCATACTGGGATGACATGTGGGACAGATATGCATATAGGGTATCTTACTCTCCTGACTTATTTCTAAACTCATGTTAATTAGGTATTAGTGGTAAATTTAGCTGATACTAGTACTGTCATCTAAATTTGATAAATATTTTGTAAGTATTTTGTTTGTAGTCAAATTTCAATCATGTCTGAGGTAAAACTACCATACTATCTTGTTTACATACATTTCATCCTAAAACATTCAGTGACTTGCAGTTTTGCTTCAAAATCTTCCTTGAGTAATTCCTGATATGTGCTGATTATTTTTTTTTTTTTTAAAGCTACATTTGGAAGTTTGTTCATTTTATTTAACCTAGAAAGCCTACCGTTTCAAATATCTTAACTACCAACAGAATTGAAGAGCTCACGTGTGGCGGGATGGTGGAACAAGTCCAGGAAGCTTTTGGAGAGACTATGACGTCTGTGGTCTCGCTATGTGCTCGCTACCCCATTGCTTGTGCAAATAGCATTGGCCTCTTATGCACTATACCTTACACAAGGTATGAAAGTATTTCTTTCAGAAAGGGAAGGAGGGTATACACAGCTGTGCTTATTAGGTTTTGCCTTAAGGAGAAGCATTATATAGTATAAATATATTCCCTTTCTTCATAATGGGGGGCATCTGAGAACATCCTGTTAAATTTTCTCAGAGTAAAGAATTTCATCTGGGGAGGACAAGGGAGAGGCAGAACCATCTTTCTGCAAAGCGAAGTAACTAATTGCTGAGTTAACAGCAAGTTCTGGATTTTCATTGTGTCTGTTGTTAGCGACTGAAAAGTTACTTAAGTAAAATCTGAATTTCTCTTCTCATACAGGAGTGAAGAGAAGTGTTTGGTACGTAGTGGCCTGGTACAACTCATGGACCGGCTTTGCAGTTTAAGCAGCCAGACAGAATCCAGTTCGAATGAAAAACAGACTAAGAAGCAGAAGGTGGCCACCATGGCTTGGGCTGCCTTCCAGGTGCTAGCCAATCGGTGTGTCGAATGGGAGAAAGAAGAAGGTAGGAACACTGCCAGCTATTTCTGCTGTCCACTTTAGAACTGCACAAGTACCTGAGAAGTTGTAAATGTATTTAAAGTAGGGCATTTGCTCACCGTGACTTTAGTACTGTTTAGGTTCTTTAGAACACACAAATGGATAGAACACTCAAGTGTTTTAGTTTTTTTTTTTAATTCTAGCTTTTCCTCCTCATGGGATTGTTTGTTGCAGGTAATTTCAAGTCTGCCACTTGGTTCTGCCTAGGCATAACCATAGAACCAGGAGACTCTGAGTGATCACTTATGCCTTCCTGCTGTGTTAGGATTCACCCATAACATACATGAACTTATAGACACGTGGCTGTTGGCTAATGGAACACAGATGTTGTATCAGGTTTTATTTTTAGAGACTTTTTATATTTATATAAACATTTTGCTATATATTTTTTACTGTTTTTAGTTTATGGGTAAGGAATTTGTAGATGTGTACATGCATTTTTGTTAATTACAATTATGCATTCTTGCATTACTTTTAAAGGTGGTTCAACAGAGGCTGTTCACTCTGGTCTGGCTCGTCAGGTCTCCAGCCTCCTTACCAACCACCTCGCACGAGCTACAGAGTGTTGTGGTAATCAGGCTGCAGGAAATGATGCGCTGCAAGATGTTCTCAGTCTTCTTAATGACCTGTCAAGGTACTAGGCCATTGTCTCTGGAATATTTTTTTCTATGTATGAAAGCAGGTGAGGGTTCTTTTGGGTTGTTTTGGGGATTTTTTTTACAGTACAGAAAGTAAGATAACTTTCAAAACCGTTCTAAAACTTGGTTGTAAACTGACATTTACTCAATCTTAGTGTTTAATCAGTGCTGTCAGGTTATGTAGGAATTGTTGCAGATAAGGCTTTGTGAGACGCTGAAATATTTTTTAAATTACATCCTGAAAATAAATGAATTTATTCTTTACAAGAGCATTGTTAAACAATCAATTTTTTTTTTCCCCCTTTCAGGAGTCACATAGGTAAAGCAATCCTGAGCCAGCCAGCCTGTGTGTCCAAGCTTCTGTCTCTTCTCTTGGATCAGCGTCCTTCGCCAAAGTTGGTCCTTATAATCCTCCAGTTGTGTCGTGCTGCACTGCCTCTCATGAGCGTTGAGGACTGTGGAAATGTGGAATTGCCTCCCTGGAGTTACTCTGTACCCTCTCTGAACAGTGAACAGGATGATCCCAGTGACCCAGCCTCCAAGATTGCCTCTCTGCTGTTGGCAAAGCTGGCAGATTATGTAGTACCAGGTACCAGCATCATCTTGGTGTCATGCTAACTTGAGAAATTGCCAAGCAAGTCATGTTTGTGCAAGGAGCTTTTGTATTGACAGAAAGCTCAAGTAGGAAAAGGTATATGTCAGTGTTGAAAGATAGGATATTTCTGTGACTTCTGATCTGTTTCTTAATTTAACTGTTCTCAGGCTAAGTTGTGCGTCACAGTGATGTTTTAGACATGTCTCAGGTATGTTAGCATTAGTTTCAAGGGCAAGAAAGTTTGTTGATGGAGCTCATGGTTGTGTGTTTTTCTTTGTTTTGGTTTTTTCCTTTCTACTTCAAGGATGCCAGACGGTTCTTTCTCCAACTGCCTCTGAGCCAGATACTACTTTGGCAAAAGCCAGCCCTAAAAATTCCATAAAAGGCGATAAAGATCCTGGAGAAGAAAGCGAGGCAGTGGATGGTAAACTTTCTATTTTTATTCATAAACGGGAAGACCAGTCATCCCATGAAGTCCTTCAGCCATTACTAAGGTAATCTTAACTCAGTGGATTGGAATTAGCAACCAATTTTGCTAATTCCATTTCTCTCTTTTTTTTTTTTTTTTTTTTGAGTGCTACAGCTGTGGAAAAATGCATCCTAATGCATCCTAGACATAATAGTAAATGAGAAAGCAAAATGTCTTCCCAATTTGTTGTATTTACTGGCAAAATTATAAGATAATACAAAAATGGTTTATAGGGCTGATGCTTAGTGTACTGTTACCTGGATAAAAATGCATACCACTATACTGAATTTGTGGTGAGGCAGCAGCAGAAAGAATCTAAATCCCAGTGCTTCCTGGACTTGTCTGTTTTGTAGAAGACTATTTAGCAATGATGAGAGCAGCAGAGCTGAAACGGAGCAGAGTATACAGATGTATAAAAGGAGGAGGGGGATGTGAAGTGTGACGTTTTGGTTCTGCCTTGCTTACAAGCCACGTAAGCCACTAGCAAAGGAACATAAAAGCCTCTTAATCTGTCTGAAAACTGAAAACAACCACATGAAAAATTATCTACTTACATGATGCTCCATCAGAAAAATTGAATGTATCTTGTTATAGTATTACAGACTATCTATGTAGGACTAACAAATAGAACTGTCAAAGCAAAATGGCTTTAAAAGCATTGCTTTTAATAATGCATATGCTGGATAATAATTTACTATTACAGCTTCTTTAGTATTCTTAGTACCCACCTGGATTTTGAGGTCTCTGAATGTCAAGCAGCCAACATTATCACCTCTTGCATTTTGTACTATTTCTCATCTTCCCCCACTCCAAGTTGATTTTGAACCTGTGCCCTAAAAATGATACTAAAAGATACAGCTGTTGGGTGTTCTTAGGTGAAAGGTTAACTTGGAGTCCTCAGGCATTTGTGTTCAGTAAAAGCCAATTTCATGGCGCTTCTTTTTGAGGCGGAAAGGCTTAAATTGCTATGCAAATAACTACATTCAAGAGTATTAAATTCCTTTTGTAAATTACAGTGCAATTGGGTATGTCCTTAACTATCAAGTATTTCTATTACTGTTGAGCAATTCAGTATGCGAGGGTTGCTTTCAAATAATTTAAAACCACACATAATATATTAAATTGGACTGTATAGTTCAGATGTATTTTCCACCAATGAAAACAAAGCTGATGTGTTTTGTTTTTGCTTTAATAGTAGCTCAGAAGGTCGTCCATTCCGACTAGGAACTGGAGCCAATATGGAGAAAGTGGTGAAAATGGATCGAGACATGACAAAAGTAAGAAAAGGAATAACTGAAGAGTTATTCAACATTGTAAAAATTGGTGGCCAGTCAGAATTCTTGTTTTTTACTGATGTTAAATCCCCTTTGTTAAATGTTGTTTAATTTACAGAACTGTTCAGAAAGATAACTTTTTATGTAATATTAGCATTTGTCCTAGTTTCAGCTGGGATAGAATTAAATTCTGCACCACCACCAGCCCACCCCCCCCCAGTAGCTGGTATAGTGCTGTGTTTTGGATTTAGTATGAGAATAATGTTGGTAACGCACTAATGTTTTAGTTGTTGCTAAGTAGTGTTTGTACTAGTCAAGGACTTTTCAGCTTCTCATGCCCTGCCAGTGAGAAGCTGGGAAGGGGCACTGCCAGGACAGCTGACCCAAACTGGCCAAAGGGCTACCCCATACCATATGGCATCATGCTCAGTATAGAAACTGGGGGGAGTTGGCTGGGGGGCGGACTGCTACTCGGGAACTGACTGGGCATCGGTCAGTGGGTGGTGAGCAATTGCATTGTGCATCACTTATTTGGTATACTCTTTTATCATTATTATTATTATTTTCCCTTCCTTTTCTGTCCTATTAAACTGTCTTTATCTCAACCCACGAATTTTACTTTCCCCCGCCACCCCGATTCTCTCCCCCATTCCATTGGGGCAGGGGAAGTGAGCGAACGGCTGGGTGGTGTTTAGCTGCCTGCCGGCTTAAACCACAACAGCATTATATAGTTATTGATGTAAATACAGGGGTAAATGATGAAAAAGAATTTCAGCTAATGCTTCCTCCAACTGTTGTAAGTCATGTTTAAGCCCCTTTAATATTCTCTTTCCTGAAGTGTTTAATGCACATTGATAGTATGAATTCTAAACCACATATTTAAATTGAATTTTGATGTATATTTTCAGACATGTTCTTGAGTATTTGCACCAGAAATACGCATGTGTGGCTTTTTGATCAGAGGAGAGAATCTATACTGTTAAGCTAAGAATGGAATATTAAAGGCAATGAATCCACATTGATCTGTCATCTCTTTGTAGATGAGAAAAAGCAACAGAAAGGATTTGTCTTATGACTGTGACTAATACATACACAGGAGGATGTTTTTGATATGTTCTCGGTACTTTTACATATGCAGAGGGAGGAGAGTTAAATGCATCACATAGTGTGGCCAAATAGAGCTAACATTAGTATTTGTCTTATTTCAGAGTGGCTGCTGTGAAGTTATTACAGAAGAAGCTGCTGCAGCTCTTCGAAAGGCAACTAAGTGGGCACAGTCTGGTCTAATAGTTAGTGTTGGGCCACCCATAGAAACCGTCAATCCAGAAGCTACTAGTGGGTTGTCCACTGGGGACAAAAAGAAGACCGCACAAACATCTATTTGCAGAGAGAGGAATTCTGAGCTCGCCAGGTAGGTCGCTTTGATTCTATAGTTGAGAGTCTAGATTCTGCTTTTCTGTATACCAGTATTTGTAGTGCTCCAGAAAATAATCTGGGTATTCATAAAATTCTCTTTTTTGCGCTGTGTGTTGTTGTCGACAACTGAAGCTTCTTTTCCTTCTCTTGTTTTGAAATTAATTGGCAAATTCCTTTCTTCTTCTGTATAGGACGGATCCTGTGAGGCCATTCATTAGTGGTCATGTTGCAAACAGCATGGCAGCAGAGGTGATCGCTTTGTTACATAGCTTGTTGATGGCACCAGAATCAAATGCAGCTCAGATATGGACAACAACTGCTGAAAAAGTAAGCAAACAGAAGATCAAGTATCAATTTCTACACCAAGCATGTATCAAGTAGTTCAGAGAACTTAATTATTAGGAATTTCCGAAGCTACTCCTTTCTGATTTACTACTTCTAACGCTTCAAACTGGGATGTGTAACTGCATAGAAGTAGCCCTTTCTAGTAGATGGTATCCATCTGATGTCTTAGGGTGGAATAAATAATCAAAAATTATCCAGCATTACAGAATATGTTGTCATTCTGTAATTCACCTGTCATTCTTTTCAGTAATTAATAATGCTGTCTGTTTAGGGAGTTATCTTGCCTTTGATGGGTAGTTATTCTACCTTTGCTATCCAGTCCTTTTTGCCATGACCTCTGAGGGTGTAAAGTGTTGGCTGGAAAGTATAGCACATTGCTTTTATGTGCCTCTGAATCCTGTAGCACCTAATTGGTTGCTTAGGCTAAATCCTTGAGTGAAGACTTTTGCTAAGATTATATACATAACTCTGATTCTGAAAGTTATTGTGGAATGGAGTCAGCTTTGATGGTGTTCACACTTCAGAGAACTTAGAATATTCTGAGTTACATAATTTTCTTCAAGAACAAAAATAATTCTTCTGAGACTGTGTGTGGGCTGGAGGCTTGGGGCGTTGTTTTTTGTTTGAATTGTGCTTTGAAGTCATTCTCTGGTATTTTTGCTTCTGTCTTCAGGTTCTGTCTCGGGCTCTGATGTACATTCCACAACTCGGGAAATATGCAGAGAGTATTTTGGAGAATGGGAGCAGCAGTGGAAGGAAACTTGCTAAACTTCAAAGAATTGCTCGGCAGGCAGTAGCTGCCCTTTGTGCTCTGGGTGGCTTTAAGGAAACGATTAAAATAGGTTCTGAAGTTCAGGTAATTGAGCGCTGTCCACCCTTTGTATCTTAAATGAGAATTGGTGCTTTTGACGATGTTTTGCCTGCACTGGCATACTTGTGAAGCAGTGTGCAGATTGCCTGTGATTGTGAAGCAGTTGCAATAACACTTGCAGAGACTGCTATTGTGTGTTATTCCTGTTTCCTAAAGTACCCAGCTTGAATTGTGTGCTGAGTTGGTGTGTGGTGTTAAACACTCAGTGTTTCTTGTTTCTAAAGCCTTAAATCTTATGCAGACCTTCTTTGGTTGTAGGTTTTAGGTAAAGGAATAGCAGGAAGCGTTGGAGTTGTGGCATCTATTAATGAACAAGAAGGTATAGCAACGGTCAAATTTCCACCTACCAGTATAGACAGTAGAAAGACCTCACAAGCATCAGACACATTAACTATTCCATTATCTAGGCTCTGTGTGCCAAGATCTGAGGTACGGTAGTTTTAAGAATCCGATATTAAGTATAATATAAATTATTTTTATTTTTGTCATAGAATACTGGCAATTAATCTACGGCATGTAAAAAGTCTGTTTCATCGTTGATTAAATATTATTTGTAAAGTTTGCCTCATTATTTTAAACATATCTTAACAATATCTATATTTAAGTTCTCATTCAAGTAACATGGATATTCATCTTTCAGTGCTTAAAGATGTTCCATTGCATACTCTGTTGGTTTTCTTGGGGTTTGTTTCTGTTTTTTCTTTTTTGACTGGTGTTTGGTGCTGGTTTTGTGATAGTACAAAATGAAAATTAACTCCAGGTAATAAAACGCCCTCATTTCTTAGAAACTAACTACTTGAATTTAACTTTTTACCGTGCCCCCCCACCATCAGGCATTGCCTCTTCATAAACTGTCCATTACTGAGAAGGTAGTACAGGCAGTCCAGTCCATGTTGCTTCCTCAGGAGGGAAGTCTATCTATTCACACCTCACTTCCTGCAACAGGAGATGGCTCAACTCCAGTAATGGCAGTGGTCCGGCTTCTTGCTGAAATAAGAACCAGGTGAGTCATTGGGTTTTGTGCAGCACCCCAGTCTGTTTTGATACCATACAGAAACGTTCAAGAAAATTGCATGGGTTCTTGTTTTCTTCCTCTGCGGGTATTGACATACGGCAGCAGGGGACAATGCAAAAATTCTTGTTTGCTTCCTTAAGTACATTTAGTGTCTGGATGTTGTTAAAATGAGCACCAAAAATAAAGTGCCCCCTGTAACACTGACAATGCATTGAGCGAATGCTTCACATAAGTAAATGTTACGAACCAGGGGAAAGCTGTCATTGTGGAAGTTCCAATGGATAGCTAAGCAACCAGACAAAGAAATAGATCAGTTGGTGTGCTGTCTTTTGAAATAGTCTGGATTTCAATACATGTAAAGACAGCTTTGAATTCAGCGTACGCTTCTGTAATGCTTTAAATGTATTATTTTTTCCATTAAGAGCATGCCTGGTGATGGCTCAGCTGTTAGAAGACAGCTCATTCTGTGAAGAATTCATTCAACAATGTCCAGCTGCGGTAGAAGTTCTTAATTTGGTGGCGCAGGAGTGCAGCCCTGGTAGGTATTCAACACGCTCTTGCAGCTTCATTGTCGTATTCAGTTCAGAAATGTAACATCTTTTAAAATCATTTCAGTATTTTGTCCTCCAGCCGCTTAATGTTTGATAGCTAGCACAGTATGGCATGTCTGCAGAGCTGTTAACGTAAGAGTAGCTGATAATCAGACTAAATAATTTTAAACATTCGGCATAAAGTTTAGGCCAGAACGTGATTATCCTATGCATCACAGAAGATGCAAGTCCTGGGACTAGCTCTCCACTACTATGCTTCTGAACCCTCTCCTCTTTTCTTGCATCCAGTGTAACCTACTCTGTATTCCTTGACATTATAATTTATATGTTTTCTTTTTATGACCTTTTTTCCTGTATTAAGAAAGCATTGTAAAAAACTTCTTATCACTGAGCTCTTGATTTCCTTCCCTCTTATTTAAGCAGTGGGCCCAGCACAAGCCTTAGTTCAGGGGCACGTTTTAAGAGCATGTCAGAGCTTTTCATTGGAGGAAAAGTGGCTGAAGCAAAGGATGTTAGGGTAGGAACCGAGTGGATTTCAGTACGATCTCCAGTGTATAAGGGAGCATACTGATTTTTTTGATAGTAGGCATAAATTCTTTTGACTTCCTGCTTTTGCTGGGTCATAAACTTACTCCCTAAAATGAACTTTATGTCTTAACATAACAGTGTCCTTGCTAACCAAATGTAAATTAAACATAAGGAAAACAATTGCTTGTATACATTTGATTTTGTTCTTAATTTTGTTGATTGGGTAAGTGAGACTATTTGATCAGATCTCTTAAGATGCAAATGTCATATTTGTTTCTATTTATCGATATTAAGATTGCATTGTTGGACTCGGGTAACTAGATTTGCTTGGAACCTCATGACTTGCTTTGGTTTGTTGTTACAGGGGAGAGGCTCCTTGTTGTAGAAATGCAGTGTGAAAGGTTACGAATGTTGTATCGGGACTGTGCTCGACCTCCCCCTCCTCCACTCCAAGCAGACAGAAGACAGGTGAGCACAGAAACAGTGCTGAGTCTTCTGCCCCTTGCAAATTAAGCCAGCCACTGAGTGCAGAGGGGTCTGCCTGTGGTGCTGGAGCCAAACTGGTTGGATTCTTACTTAAACATTTCATTTGATGTACCTTTCTGTAATGGGATGTGATTTGTTGTGATTGCAGTTGTGGTAGTTGCATGTGTTGTAGTAAATGTGCACTTCATGAAAGAATGTGTCATTGGATTTCAGTAGATGACTTCAGCTGTAATTGGTAGAATAAAATGCTTTGTTCCTGTTTGTAGCCCAAAGAAATCACTTGGAGCCCATCAAGAGTGTTTCCCCCTGTACGAGCATGCATGTTTTCATCGCATCTCACAGCTGTGACCTTTTTGGCTGATCCTAGTGCAGGTGGAGGACTACCTCGGGGCACATTTATCTATGCCACTTCACCAGTTCCAGTACAGGTAAGAACCCATAACTGTACGATAGTTTGTGTCATTTAATATTCAGTAGTGCATAAAAAGAAAGAAAATTTTCTATTTTACCTATATTTTGTAAATAATTTTAAATAATAATTTTAAATTATCATTATTTTTATTTCTAGGCACCATCATTCTACTGGGAGATTGAAATAGTTTCCTATGGAGATACAGATGATGACACTGGACCAATAGTTTCATTTGGATTTGCTACAGAAGCTGAAAAACGGGATGGTGCTTGGACAAACCCAGTGGGCACCTGTCTTTTTCACAAGTACGTTGAGATGTACATCAGAAATCATGGTCTTGCTCAGTACCTTTGTAAGCTGCTTAGGGAGGTGTATTGTGAGCACATTGTAGTAGGCAACACGTGCATTTTAATTGAAATGTTAAAATGATGAACTAGAATATCTCCTTATGAAAATGAGAGTTGAGTTGCCTTACTTAGACGTCAGCTGGTAGCAAGTTGTAATCCTTACTTGTTTCAGTGCTCTCTTTAATTTTCTTCTTGTGTTACTTCTCAGCAATGGGCGAGCAGTGCATTACAATGGCTCCAGCTTGCTGCAGTGGAAGAGTGTTAGATTGGATGTGACTCTTTCTCCCGGTATGTAAGAGTACAGCTAACTTGCTTATCTGGTAAATCAGAAAATCCTCTAAATGTAAGGGAAACAGCGGATGAGAAAACAGATTAAATCCATGTTCTTCTTTTGATGATTATCATTTTTCTACAGGTGATGTAGCAGGAATTGGATGGGAAAGAACAGAAGGAACACCACCCCCTCCAGGGCAGCCAGCCAAAGGCAGAGTTTATTTTACGTATTGTGGGCAGCGACTTGGGCCATATCTAGAAGATGTCTCCGGTGGAATGTGGCCAGTTGTCCACATTCAGAAAAAGGCAAGTTTTTAACAGAACAGCAACAGCTTGATACATATTCTTTCAGAAATATTAAAAACATTATATTGAAAGTATTGAGCCTGCTTACCTATCTATGAAAAAGTACAGTGGAAGTTTTTACCTTTATTGAGTTCAGCTGAGGTATTCCATTACCCTTCCCAGGTGCATATATGTTTTGTCATTATTTTGAACTTTTTCTGCCCATTAGGACACTAATGTACAGCTGGCTTGATGAGATGGCATTATTCTGTCCTAGTAGCCCTCCTATTAGTATTCCTTCCCAGCAGTGACCTTGCTTCAAAGTATACTAGTTAGGTATGCTGTATCTTGAAGCTAGAAAAAAGGCAAGTTCAAAGTTTCTATTTAGAAGCTTCATACTTTCCCTGCTGCATCCAGTTTTATAGCTAGCAATGCTGGGAAAACCATATGGCATGGAGATGTGATCAGCTTATTCCTTTGGCTGAGTTTTTTAAATTATCAAAGAGAAGGATCAAAACAGTCCACAAGTCATCTTAATGCTTTTATATGCATCTTCTTTCAGAACACGAAAGTCCGTGCTAACTTTGGATCTCGTCAATTTGCCTATGCTGAAGGACAGGCTCACAGGAATGCTGCTGATCTGTGTATTGACCTAGCTGAAGAAATAAGTGCCAACTTTGAAGCGTTGCCTTTTGCCATGGCTTCTGATAGTGATAACGATGCTGGCACCAGCATAGCTTCTGATCCTGGGACCCATGGACCTCCTTGTAGAATTGCTGCTGTTGCTACGGCTCAACAACGTAAAGTGATGATTAATATTTTTTAAAAACCTCTTTCAGGAGAAATTACAATCAATTAAATAGGAGTTAAGTACATCCTGGCTACGGTCCTTAGGTACTGCCGATTTAGGTAAAGCAGTACAACATTATTGTCAAATACGTGCTTACTTGATTTTTAGACAAGGCAATTAAAAAAAAAAAAAATCTTACTTTGGTCTTCCTTTATATGGATACACAAATTATTCTCAATGCAACTGTAATGAGAAATTATCTTATTAGGGCTTTGAATACAGTAAGGTGTTATAGTCAATTGAATCAGCCAATTGATTACACTATGGCAAAATGCATTACATTTCCACAGACTGATTGGAGACCATGGAATGCAATGTATCTCAAACTTCATAGAATATTTTTGCATGCTTTCTAGTGCATTATGATCTCATTATTTCCATATGTGTTTTGCAGAATATGACAGTGACACATCTTGCCACTATAAAATGGAACTAAGCTATGAGAACTTTATCACATCGGGCCCTGATCCTCATCCCCCTCCTATTGCAGATGATGAAAGTGATGATGATGATGACGATGATATTCCCCGGGTGAGGAGCGTGGCAAGCTCTGCCTGCTATAACTTGTGGTCTAAATACAGATCTTGTAATTCAGATTTTTAAGTTTTGCTACACAAGGGTTTTCCCTGCTTCCTTTAAGGAAAATACAGCTGTTGTTAACTTTTCTTTCTTCTTGGTGTTCTAAATAACTTTTGTAGGAGGATCACTATGCCCTGTTGGTTAAAGCCTGGGAAACTAAAGTTTTCCCTACAATTAGAAGAAGATTCCGTAATGAGGCTGAGAGGAAGTCTGGGTTGGATCAGATTAAAGGAGCTTTACAGTTAGGTATGGCTATGTTTATTTCCCTGCACATTGTTTTATATAATGTGCAATAAGTGTGAAGATAACACCTGTGTTTCTTTTATGTTTTACTGTATTCAGGGCTGGAAAATTTAAATTAAAGAAAAAAATTTGCTTACTGTTTTCATCAAGTGCTTATAATTTGGTTTGGGGTCATGAGTTTTCTTTAACGCTTAAGTTGGACTATTTAAATAGGGAAAATGGCTTTAGAAATAGTGGCAGAATTTGTTGTGCTGTTGTGGATACAGAAACACTTTGGAATAACAGTTTGGGAAGAAATTATCTACATGTGTTTTCTGTCTATGACTATATCAAGGCAACACTTTTGAGGAACACTTTAAGTGGAGATTTGTAAATGAACACTGTTCTGTTTGTGGGGAGAATCACCCTAAGAGCAAAGTAAGAATTCTGAGCCCTAATAAGAAGTATACAAGTGTGTCTCAGGAAAGCTCTGCTCCCTATCTGTCAGCCTGACTGAAAGAATATTTAAGTAATTAGCTCATCGGCTTATGATGTCAATGAGAATAAGAACTTTTATTTCAAGTGGCTGGGGAAAATAACTAGCACTCCCTTCTGTCTACCAGGAATGGTTGATATAGCACGACAAACTGTAGAATTCCTCTACGAGGAAAATGGTGGAATCCCAAGAGACCTCTACCTTCCTACTATTGAGGATATCAAAGATGAAGCAAACAAATTTACAATTGATAAAGTACGAAAAGGTAAGGTCAGCAAAAAGTATCTTGAGGGGAAAATGAAAGCTAAGGGGCTCTGGTACTTGGAATCTACTGCATAAATTGTCAATCTGAGGAAAATGCTGTACCTTAAAAATTGTGTTGTCCTTTTCTGACCAGGTCTCACAGTGGTGACCCGCTCTCCTGACAGTAACAATGTTACCAGTAGTGCTGTTGGAACAGCTTTACCCAAGTTTGCTATTCGTGGGATGCTGAAGACATTCGGTCTTCATGGTGTTGTTCTGGATGTTGATTCAGTGAGTAAAGATACATTGGGAGGGCTTTTAATGTGTCAGCATCACACATCTGTGAGCGAATATGAAGTGTACTAAATTGCTTAGAATGCTGATTTGGTGCTCTTTTTGAAGGAAAAAACATATTATCATTACTGTGTTTATTGACAGTGTTGGTTTTGGTGTTCCAGGTAAATGAATTGGTACAAGTAGAGACGTATCTCAGAAGTGAAGGAGTTCTGGTAAGATACTGGTATCCTATTGACATGTTAGAAAGGCCACCTGCTGGTTATAGGAGGACTGCAACAAATGGATTGGTTACCCTGGATAATACCAATATCCAAATTCACAGGTAAAAAAAAAAAATGTAGTTAGAAGGTGTTTGTATTATCTGACTTGGTCTATAGCATTTCCTATAGTACAATTATCGACTGCAACCTTATTTTGAGCAGTAGTAAACTTCTGAATCTTGTAGTTGTCGGATTAAAGCTGACAGAGTTTCCTGTTTTAATGGGTAGTGGGGGTTTGATTTTTTTTGTAATAAAAGAAATTGGTTATAATTGTCTTGTTGGAAGGATTTTACTTAATCATGTGAAAATGTTTTTATACATGCTGGTCTAACAGGTACCTTCCTTGAAGTTTAGGTTTCTTGTAACCATCACTCAGTTGCTATCTAAAAACTCAAGAACTCTTGACTGACTTTGTGGAGAGTTGGCTTCCAATTCAGGTGCCTTAGTTTGGTACCAGAATTAGATGGGCTGAGTGCTATCTTAAGTGAATAAGAAAGATTTGGGTCTCCTTGAACCTTTTAAATAATTAGGTATATATGTTTGGATTCAGGGCAGATGGCTGAATGAGGCTTATTTTAAGTTTGAGGCAATTTTATGTTTTGATGTTTGTGTTTTCTAGAGAGCTTTTGCGAAGTGAAGCTTCTCTGGCCAAGCTATACTGCCGCATGGCTCTCCTCAATATTTTTGCCCCCAAATCTCCACATATGTTTACTCGGCTGTTTCATATTCCTGCTATCCGTGATATCACTCTGGAGCACCTGCAGTTGCTATCCAACCAACTTCTTGCACCACCTCTTCCTGGTAAACGCTAATTTTTATCACAGCTCTGTTCTGGTACAGCAGTTTTCTGTGGACAAAAAAAAAAAAAGTCTAATGAATCTGGCACTTATTGATTAATTAGTTAATAATGATGGTATTTGAAAAAATGTCTCAATGGACTCCTGACCTTAGTGATATGGTACTAAACTGAAATTCTTGTTAATGATCTAATTAAGTATTCAAGAAAGTTCAGAGTCCCTCCTAAGATTCCATTCAGTGTGCTTCTGTCCATTTGTCATCGGTGGTCTTCTGTTTATTGGGGGGTGGGGGGAGTATCCATATGGGATACTTGTAAGGAATTTGGAATGTTTTATAGTTTGGATCCAGGGTAGTAAAACCAAATGCCAGTTGGGTTTCACAGTTTTCAAAATTCAACTCTTCTTCATTTCACAAAGTGGTTTGTCCTTTTCCTACTGGAATCACAGATCTGGTTAGAGAATGTATGTGCTGAATCATGGAAAAGAATCTTTGGCTAATTCAAGTGAGTGTTAACAAAGACAATTATCGTGACAAAGCTGTTCTGCATGCAGAGAAATGTGTGTAACGTGGCTGGAGTGTAAGGAGGAAGTAGGAAGTGCTAAATATAGGCTATTAATAATTGAAAGTAATTAGTTACTGTTGGAAAGAGTCCTGTTCCCCCTCCAATTACTTTGAAACTTGGCTACTTCTAACAGATGCTGCATTGTAAAAGATCCTCTTGCAGAGTACAGCACTACTTTGCATGGCTTTGAGAATAATTTTACAAGCTTTTATTTAGTTGTTCCTCTTTAAAATATGTCTAATTCAAGTCCTGCTAATACATACAGTTTCCAAACTGGCATTTTGGTGAATTGCCCGCTCCTTTGTGCACTGCACTCTGTTTTTCTTCTCCTATTAGTTCCAGAATGACATGTCATGAGATGTCAGGGCTTGCGACCTGCTTGGGGCTGCCCAAAAGCTATCCTGTTCATATATGGGGAAGGCTTGAGAACAGATAGAGCTGCTCTCACCTCGTCTAGAATGAGTGGGGAAGAGAGCACTTCTGGTCACTTGTCCTCATTGTACTTACGCACTAAATTGAAGTATGCCTGCCTTCATACATGGGACAAAATGAGGCAGCTGTGAACCTGCAGTTCAGTGTATGTCTGGCAGACCTCCCTAAGGGTTGGCTTAAGGCAGGTGAAGAACACAGCTGGCATTTAAAGGGCCATCCCATCTGCAACCAACTATGTCAGGGGTGCAAGTCTAGTCTTGGGTGGATCCTTTCTACTGCTGACCTTTGGGAGGAGTTTTGCACTTGCTCAGGAGTGAAAATAGAGGCTTGTATTGCTCAGGAGTGAAAGCTTGTAATCTTCCAAGTGTTTTAAAACTCTTCTTTCCACTGTCTGTTTCACGGGCTACATAAACATGTTGAAGTGATCTCCAAATTGGTCATATCTTACTTGTTATTACAGATGGAACAATCAGTTCAAGTTCTATTCTTTTGGCCCAGTCCCTGCAACACTGCATCCATTCCCAGAACTGTGCTGCCACAGACCTCTTCTACCAGGGCAATTCGCAAGCCATCAGAGAGTGGCTTACTGTTGCCATTACTCGGACACTGCATCAAGGAGAGGAGAGTCTGTTAGACCTCACTAAACAGATCTGCTCCTTTTTGCAGGTAAAATATTTAGTAATGTTTTATGAGCAGTGTTGTTTTCCTTTCTAAGGAGCCCTTGCTTTATATGTGATTCTAACTTCCATAATACTGTCCCTCACACTGAAGTGTTTCTCTGGATGGATTGTATTCCTATTCTGATCATAGTGGGCATGCTGAAAACGCAATAGCGATACTCTGGATCATATTAAAATGAAGTGGCCTCACACTATGTCATTATTTACAATGCTGTATTTTATTTGTAAAAAGAAGAGGGAGGTGGTTTGCTACTGCTGCTGCGCAGGGGCTTTCATTATGAAATGTTATGTTACAGACGGCACCAGAACAGTTTCCTGCCGAAGAATTCCCAATTTCAGAATCCAAAGTCAATATGGATGTTAATTTTCCTGGGGCTGCATTTGTAATTGTGTCCTGTAAGGAAAGTCAGTCTGGATTCCGCAAAGAGTAAGTAACTGAGGGACCAAGAGTCGCAAAGATTAAAGGTGTGCCGCTGAGCCTATGTGAGCACTGAGTATGCAGTTGCTCATTTTTTTTCTTTTAGACTTTCCTCAGAGACTGATTTTCTGGGTGGTGGGATAAATACTGCAGAGCATTTCATCTTCCTGTGACTGGGTTTGGATTTTTAGTAGCTAGTTACAGTCTAACCGAACTGTTCTTGCTCTTTTCTTAGTTCATCTCTGTATAAAGCTCCTTGGGCTCGAGTGCTTGTCTACGGGCTCGGGCATAAAGTCAAAAGGAATGGTCAGTTAAACCTAATTGAAGCAGTATGCTATCCTCGAGATGCCTCTCCAACAAACACAGGCCTAACACCTCCCCCAACAACCAATCAGTACCCTTCAGTGATCACCCCTACGGACAAGGTCCACATCAAACTAGGTAAAAAAACCACAACCAACCAACCAAAAAAAAACCCCCACCTTTTAAACTGTATTCTCAGAAGTGAGACAAGCATCATCATTGCCCCTCTAAGCCCTTCCTATATTGTCACCAGTCCTACCATTGGTTATGACAGTATTTTTGTACAAGGTATTAAGAAATGTATCCTAGCAGAAATGTGCAATCATTCTTAACCAAGAAAGCAGGGTTTCATAAACGTTGGAAGCCATCTGACTCTGATTTTGTTAGTTCTGTTAAATCTGTCAGGATCTGCTTTTTTTTTCTGATTTTCTGTGTTCCAGGACTTCACAAAGTGGTGTTTTTGAATATTTCTGGAGTGTTCCAGTTGGTGCTATTGCTATTTGAGATGCTGTGTTTCAGATGAAGAATAATTTTTCTTTTCTTTTGTAGGTAATTGTAGGGCCCTTTAGTATGCAGAATAATATATATGCAGTATAGTAATACCTAGGTCATCCCAGCTTCTCAAGCAAGAGCAATCATTAATATTCTTTTTACTCTTCCAGCCTGAGAGACAGTGTGATTTATTTAGAGCAGTGAAGGTGATTGAGTGCACTAAGCTCTTAAAACTTTCCATTGGAGGTCTTTAAGTTCTTTTTCTGAACTACAGCATCTCTGTTTTTCTCAGTACTGATCAGACACATCATACTACAAATAAATGGGTTTGTGAAAGTCCTGGATGTATTTAGATATGTACAGGCTAAAAATAGTTCTATTTCATATGTCATGTAAACAAAATCTTATCTGTAAATTTATAATTATGGATTATATCAACTTGTCATTATAGATAAACATTCCTATTTGTTTATTACGAGGTACTTAATAGAGAAAATTCTCAGATAACATAAATTTAGCCTCAAAAAAAAATCCTAAAAGTTATGTTACTGCTTTTACTTTATAAATGCATAGAGTCATGATAAGTATTTTCTTTGACCTTTTTGATTAGGAGTATCTCCTCCTCCTGGAGCTGTGTTGGTCTTGCATTCTCTTCCCCTTGAATTCCCCCTGGCAATGGCATTCACAGAACAGCTATTAACTTGGAAATTGGAAGATGGGGATGGAAGATCAGAAGACGAACTGGATACTATTCCTGCTTCAGTTCTCTTACAAGTAGTGGAATTTTTAGGTGAGAATGCAGTATTAGTAATGAGCACCAATAATGTGCTGGCTCAGATGGAGAGTTTAGGAAAGAAAAAGAAAAATTACAGTCACAAAGTATTTCTGAGCTCTTCCATTGTATTGAAATTTTCTTCAAACTCCAGAAATTTTCTGTTCATGTGCAGTTCTTGGAATAGCCTTCCTGTCTGTCTTAACTGCTGACCTACAGCCATTGAAACAACCTTTTCTTGTGCTTTTTTTAATGTTACTGTTGCAACTCATGTTATAAAGCTGCTAACAGTGAAATACTGCTGACTCCCGTGTCTTGCCTTACACACACAGGGAACTTCCTCTGGACAACTGACATGGCAGCATGTGTGAAGGAATTAATATTTCATCTCTTGGCTGAGTTGCTTCGCAAAATTCACAACCTGGAGCAGAAAAAAAATCCGGCAGGATTGTCATCTTCTATTGCCCTTCAGCTAAATCCCTGTCTAGCTATGCTGATGGCCCTGCAGTCAGAACTTCACAAGTTGTATGATGAAGAAACACAAAACTGGGTGTCTGGAAATGCGTGTGGTGGTTCTGGTGTTGGAGTGGCTGACCAAGGAAGATTTTCAACATACTTTCATGCTCTGATGGAAGTCTGCCTTGCTGTGGCAGAAGTAACCTTACCTATCAATATGAGTGTAACAGCTAATGTGATGTCCTCAACAAGTGCACCAAATCTTAGTGACTCTTCCTCCTCATCTTCATCTTCTCCAGGACAGACACCACAGAGTCCAAGCTTGCTGTCAAAGAGGAAAAAAGTCAAAATGAAGCGGGAAAAGACATCATCTTCAGGCAAACGGTCTTCATCCAGAGCAGCTGAAACAGATGCTGCAATCCTCAGTATAGGAGGAAGCAAGCCCGAGGACATGTTATGGTTTCATAGGGCACTGACTCTGCTTATAATTCTCAGACACCTAACTAAAAAGGATCCACAAGGATTGGGTGTGACAAATGATGCTGTAGCAGATGCATGTCAAGCACTAGTAGGCCCCACAGCTCATAGCCGCTTGCTTGTCATTTCTGGAATACCAACTCACTTGGAGGAGAGTACTGTGAGAAGTGCAATCAGAAAGGCATGTAATGCACATGGTGGAGTCTTCAAAGATGAGATCTACATCCCTTTGCAGGAAGAGGATCCAAAAAAAATCAAGGACAAAGCAGAGGGAGGAGAATGCAGAACTGAACTGGAAAAACCAACTGTTTCAAGTAGTGCAGACAGTTTGGATATCAGCAGCTCTAGCAGTGTCACACCTGCCATGAGCGTTAGCGCTTCAGCGTCTACAAGCCAGGCTTCCCTCTGCAGCTCTCAGGGTATATCTCGGACCGTTAGTGATATCTCAGTTGACCAGTTTCAAGCTGGACTGGAACTGGCCATCCCACCAGGATTGCTAGAACCGCATGTTGTTTCCAGCCAGGAGAGTTTGGATCTTTCACACTGCAGTACTGGAAGCCTTGGCAGCCTTGGCAGCCTCGGGGAACCTCTTGACAATGTAGAAACAGCATCTGTGTCTGATGTTGGATCAATGTACACAGTCACATCTCTGGACAACCAGCCACTTCTGTCACGGCCAATCAAAGGTTTTGCTGTAGTGGAGGTAATAGCCTTCAAGCAGGAGAGGGTGCCTTTTGGGTAATTTTTTTTCTGACAGACAGACATCTGATTCTAGTAATTTTTTTTTTTTTTTTTTTAACCTCTGGCTTTGAGAATTACTGTACTTCTTGTGGTTTGTGTGTAACACCATGATTTGACTATTAAGGAAAAAGCATGTTTTCTTCTGTAAAGATTCTTCTGCTTGACTGAGGCCACAACTTGAATGATGGAGAGTGAAAGGTACTGTTAGCAAGGTGGCTCAGCGTAGGTCATAGGTGCAAAATAAACGTATGTCAACGTGCATGTGAGGCTAAGGAGACTAGGGGTTCTCAGCTTGGACAGGATGGCTGAGGAACACAGAACTTTATTCTCCATTGACTTTCTCTGTATCATTCACGGTCTTACAAGTGTTCACTGTCTCTCAAAGGACAGAGTGGACCTAGTAGTGGAGTTATCAAGTAGCAGTTTTAAAACAGACAGAAGTACTCTTGCATGTTCCAAGTTGTAGAGCTCATTGCCACAAGGTGTTGTGGAAGCCAAGAGTATAAATGAATTCATAAGGGATTAAGTTCATGGAGGATGTGCAAATTGGTAGCTATTAAGCACAGCAGTCAATGCAGCTTCAACTGAGGAAATCTTTAAACCACTCATTTCTGGAGGCTGACAGAATATGTAAAGGAAAAGATCTGTTCATTTCTTCTTTCATCTAACTTTATTCAAAGATTTGCTACTGGCCACTGCTGGAGATTAATTTAGAGATAGGTGGCCCTTTGACCCACAAGGCAATTATTTAATGTTTAATGACTACATTTTCACATATTTTAACCGTCTACAGATTCCTCTACCAAGTTATTTTGGAAGAGATGATAAATTTTGTTGATGTCTGGTTCCTAATAAATTTTTAAAAGCATTGTAGGCAATTGTCACTGATGCCAGATCACTCCAGGTTTTCAGCTATGCACAAGAACCCTTTCTGTCTGTTGTTACACTAACTGCGTGCTGCAGATTTATCAGAAGCTTGCAAAAGCACAGCCATTTCTGCTAGCTTGTGAATTTAGAGAGACATTTTTCCATAGTTGGGGACTGTATCAGTTTCCCTTTTAGAAGAAAATCAGCTTATTCAGATAAAAAAATCTTCAGTTGCTATTCTTAAACTATTAATTGACATGAAGACACCAGAGTTGAAATAAACCATTAAGTGTGTACAGAAAGCTGTTGGCATATTCACATTGAAACCTACTCCAAGTCTGTAGCTGCTCTGATAATGATGCATGGTGGTTATTCTCGGAATCAAAGGAAGTTATTGTTTCTATTCCCAGTTTGCGTAGCTGAGTCTTCAAGGCCTGTGCTAATTTAGATATTTCTTTCTAATCGGAGAATTGAAGCAAGGACAGCAGAGTTGCAAATAATGACAGGTTACCTATCTGACACTTTCAGCTTCTTATCTGGCATTTCTAAGGGCTGTCTCCAGACTAAGAAATGGAATAGGTGCTTCAGAGCTGTGCCTGATTAACTCACAGCATGGTGCTTTCAGTGGCCAGATGTTCTTAGAAAGGATCTTTTTTAGGCTGAAGCTGAATTCTGGTGTCAAATTATTGATGTGGAATAATGTTGGAAGAGATGCAATAGTGTTTATCTACATGGGGAGGGGAGAAAGCTTAAGACCCAAATTGATATAAAAGAAAGTTAATTTGTTTTTTCAGAATTCCTGTTAACTAATTTCATTATTTGTACAGATAAGGTCAAGAGCTAAAATAGAGAAAATACGAGCCAGTCTATTTAATAGTAGTGATCTCATTGGTTTGTCAAGTCTGGATGGTGAAGATGAACTGATGGAAATGTCAACTGAAGAGATTTTAACAGTTTCTACTGTAAATCAGAGTTTATTTGACACACAAGGGAGCCCAGCACTAGAAGATTATTTCAATGATAAGTCAATAAAAGGTATGTGATTTTCATATTGGCAAATACCTCACTCGTATTGTGCATTCTTTTGGGACATACAGGGGTCAGATTCTCGTTGCTGGTGTAAATTCAGTATGACTCACTAATCGATGGGTGACAAGGAGGGGGAGGCCAGGGAGTAACTTCAAAGTAAGCTTCCTCCCTCTCATCAGTTGGCAGGCAGCTATTTGCAATCTGAACATTGCTCAGTTGGCCTCACAGCTAATCAAACGGTTAAAAAAAACAAAAAAACACAGAAACCCACCAACCCACAAAAAACTGCCCACCAAACGGAAAAACTACTGAGCTGTTTAGTAACTTTTTTGAGAAAATACTGTAACCACTGTTAGACCCAGCATAATTTTAGAGTAGAAACTGTTCAAGTAGAACAGCTAGTAATTTATATCCTCTAACAGTGTGAAAACTATACAGACCCTAATATACCTGGAATGGGCCTGAATCAAGGAACAGGGGAGGGTAATACTTGGAGGAAGTTCAGTTGACTACTAGTTCAATTGATAGGTGTCAGTGTGTACCTACACAACATAATTTTTCTACTGGCATCATAAATAATCTACTTTTTCATTACCACTACAGTCACTCAAATAATAATTACAGTATGTGGCCAAAACAGGAGAAGGCATTCAATTCTCTATCATAAATGGGGGTATTAGAGTGCAGAAAGGTCAGGTCTGCTAGTAGAATTTTCCTGAGTGATTTTCTCTCTTGGAGCAAGTGGCATGTGATACAGTATTTTAGCTGAATGCAAAATGTTTTTTCACATTTCAAATTCTAAACAATTGTCGTGGTATTTTGTACTTTTTTTTTTTTAAATTAGGTGAGAAACTGGTCCCTGGTGCTCGGGAAGTCCTCACAGAAATATTTAAAAGCTGCATCCATTCTGAGCAAATGCTGAGCCTAACTCCAGCGAAACCCATTAAGGTTGCTGATATCTATCTTAGTAAAGAACAGATAAATTCTCAGACTCCTGGAAACCTTCTTCATGTGTTCTTCACAAATGTCCGCCCTCCAAAGAAGGTGCTAGAGGACCAGCTTACTCAGGTAGTGCTTTGAAAACTATTTTTAGCATCTTTTTGTGTAACTTGAAAGTTTAACTTGTGTAACTTGTAATTATTCCCTTTCTATGTTTGGAAGATTTTAAGGAAATATGGTGTGCCCAAGCCGAAATTTGACAAGAGCAAGTACAACAAGGCAGGCAAAGAACAGCATCCAGTGAAAGTTGTGAGCACCAAGCGCCCAGTTACTAAACCACCTACAAAGGAAAAGTCTATGCTCAATAGTGTCAGGTTGGTGTCTTCAGCCTTTTGACAGTTGCAAAATACTTGATTTCTCTTTAGGAATCCAGATTTTTATTCCCCCTCCCTCTGTATTTCCATGTATGGATTGGAAGAGGGAAATGTGACTTTGAGATTATAAAAGACCCTCAAGGAACATTTTGGTTCCTTGAACAGAGGAAAGAAAACTTTCCTCCTAACATTCACTTTGTCCCTTAGCCGAACAGCCTTAAGTGAGAAGAAACCTACCGTAAAGCCAAAGTCTCCTGAGAAGAGCAAACCTGAAGAGAAGGACCCTGAAAAATCTCCCACAAAGAAACAGGAAGGTAATAGCTGTATAGAATTTTTCTATAGTATTACATGGTAGAAAAGAAATACACTTTTTTATTGGCATGCTTGTATGATGTCATGATAGATTTGGTTTGTCTTTGTTTTTAATGAGGCTAACTTAATGTTTTTAAATTGTGATTTAAAATGCTGCTTTTATTTTTATATCTGTAAATCTGGACTCATCAATGTCAGTGAGAGCAAACCATGCTCATGCAATTCACGCAACAGTGTGCGTGAATGTGAATACATTGGGTAGAGAACTGACTTCCCAAGAGGTATAGTTTCAAGGCTTTTTTTGTACAGTGGGGGATTAGGATGTCATGGGGTTGAACTAGGTGCTTTTAAATCGTGTTTCTCAACTTACATAGGAAAATTATTAAGTTACAAGAGGGAAATTGGACAAAAGAGAAGCTTCACATGCCTCACAACTAGTCTATCCATGGAGGAGACGGCACAGGCATGCCATGACAGGGGTTAGTTCCAGGGTCTTGCTTGATATTTCTTTCTCTAGTCAGGTGGAAGAGTGAATAGATGTGAGCTTGGACTCTGCTCTTCACTGTAGGAAATGCCAGCTTAGTTCAGAAGAGGGGAATTTCAGCATTTCAGCATTCATCCAAGTATGGATCCTTGATACCTGGTTAGATACATTGGTGGAGCTATTCCAGAGGGCAGCTGGGGGATTTGTGTCCTTGAGAGGAAAGAATGAGTGCTGTTTACTGAAGGCCACATTGGACCTGAATAGCATGATGTTTAAAACTACCTCAAGAAACAAGCCATGGTGGGATGTGTAGAACCAGGAGAAAGCTGGCAGGTAGCCACCTCATACACTGACTGTTTTCCTGTGTGGTGTGTAGACTTTATAGTAAGTCATTAACTATTTGATGGTTGTATCTTTGCTGTCAGTTCCTGAGGAAAAGTATTTGACGCTGGATGGATTTCACAGATTTGTGGTTGACCGGTCTAAACAGGATATCCGTAGTGTGTGGCGAGCTATTCTGTCCTGTGGATATGATCTGCATTTTGAAAGGTAAATTTTGCAAATCTTTTTGTAAAGGTGATACTGATGAGTTGTACTCACTTAAAAAAACTTGATCTCAAGTGTTCCTACTCCAAGTAGCTTTTACCAGTGTGTTAGTAACACACAAACTTCTATCCATGGCTGCAAGGCCTGTAGAGAAAATTGTTGGTTTTCTTAAAGCACGCTTTAAAAGAGTCACTATGCTGTCAGAATGCAGGTTGCTGACTTTCTTGTACACACCATAGCTAACAAAGTCATACGCCATACTGTTCTCTATAGCTTCCAAACTGTATAATAAATTGGCCTGATGAGAATAGTAAATCCATCTGGCTGTCTCTGGTTTCCTTCCACAACAGATTTCTATTCTGTGCACTGGGTAGTTGTTTAAAGTGGCAGTGCTGTTACTGGGTCAGTAGTAATGTAGAAGAGGGAACAGTTACTTCCTTGTTAATATTGTACAGGAAGAAAGTCCCTTAAATGAATCCTCCTTATCTCCCTGCGTCAAGCCACAAGCTGATTGTCACATCTCCTTCGCCTATATCCGCTTCAGAGCGTAAAGAAGATAGTGCAATAAGTAAGCTTAATAGGCAGTTCCTTTTTTTTTCCTTATTATTTAATAACAGTGAGGCAAGGTAGGTGATAAATGAGTTCCTATTCTCAAACTGGAATTTTTGTAATGATACACCTCTGCTTAAGAAAAGGGGACAGAAGTAGAACAAGCTACCTGGCATTGCGCTCAACATGCTCTTAGTATGCAGTATTGCACTTAGTTTCAACAAGTCTTACGTTTTTTGCATTTCAGGTGTGCCTGCATTGATGCCAGACACGCTCAAAAAGCGTCCCGGAAATGGACACTGGAAATGGATGTAGCCCTTGTCCAGTACATTAACAGGCTTTGTCGTCACCTTGCAATTACACCAGCACGACTCCATCCTCATGAAGTTTATTTGGATCCAGCTGATGCAGCAGATCCCAGAATTTCCTGTCTTTTGAGTACGTATAGATTGTTTGCATAGAGGCTTTCTTCAGTGGAAGAGCTGGGTAGTGCTTCTGAACGACCTGGCTGTCCCCCAGGTAGTTGGGACGTTCCTTTGGAGGTTGCAGCCTGGAGCCTCTGTGGGCCGAGGGGAACACTGAGCTTGGGTCTTCTCTCTCCTTGGGTGTGCTTGGGCACCGCGGTGCCTTTGGCAGCGCTGTTAGAAATGCACTGCAACTGTTCTCTGCTCTCCGAGCATACCTCCTAGATCCAGCTGGAGCAGGAAGGTATCTGGTGAGTTTAGCTTTTGGGGAAGGAGGGTTGGATTTCAATTCTAGGCCTAGGCAGACTTCAGTCACCTAAATCCTGTTCTAAGCACTAAGTTCCTTTAAGAGGGTCTCCAGATAATGCACATTCAGTGATGATGAAAGATACTGGACTCAGACACCCAGAGATGCAAGACCCAGGAACGTCACGGATCATGGCTGTTCTTGCATCTTCAGCCCTCTTGTTGAGGTGCAGGGATCAGGAGGGGCTGCTTTAGAAGGAAGCCTGTGTAGCTCCTGGACTGAATCTGCTGGGAAGGTGGACTTTGCAGTAGGTAGGGAATCTCTTTATCTCTCTGACCGGATGTTTCCCACCTCAGATGTTCCCATTGAAAGTCTACGCCTACGGTTTGCACTGCTCCAGTCTCTCAATACAACGTTGGAGACATTCTTCTTGCCGTTGGTGGAGCTTCGGCAGACTGAGATGTACGCTAATAGTATTGCTGCGTTACTGCAAGAGGCCAAAGGTCAGTTTCTCAGGGAATGTGGTTGTTGCTTGAAAGGGTGTGTTATGCACCACACTGAATTTCTTAGTATATTTTGCAGAAGATTTTAATGCGTGTATACATGTGACAGAAAGGAGAACACGGGAGGGAGAGGGAAAGCGAGATAGTGAGTGGTTTCAGTGTGCTAACAAACGCTTACTGGCTTCATTCTCAGCCCGATAAGCTGGCACACAGTCTGTCTGAGGTGACAGCCAAAAACCGGCATTAACACAAGGACACTTCTCAGTGTGGGAGTTTTTTCTTTTTCCTGGTTTGTTTTTTAAAGGCGAGGGGGATTATTTTTGCAAGTAGTTAATAGGCACTGTGCACCTTTCTTGACCATGGAGGGAGTTGGCCCATCTTTTCTGCCTGTGGGTGGCCTTCAAATGTGCCTTTATCTTCTTGGGGGTACCTGTAAATTAAAATTCTTTGTTAGTCAACAAGCAGCAGATCAGGTGAAAGTGCCAGGACATGTTGACACCCTTGTCATTGAAGTTGTAAAATTAGAGAGATCAAGAAAATGCTTACCGTGCGTCAGTATTTTAAGTAGCTTTTACAAGCCTTCATTAGACAACAAACAAAACCAAGATTTAGGTCATTACATTTCCCAAACTTGTTTTCTTCTGAAGAAGATGATACAGAATTCACCAAAGGCATCAATGTGTAAGTAGGCTTTTATACTGGTCCAGCTAGGAAAAAAAACAAAAACAAAAACAAAAACTTGCGAACCCAGTATGGGGAAGTGAGGAATGTTCAGAGATTTGTCTTTATAGAGCCCGTATTTATGGTGCAATGTGACAGCCCTATTTTTTATCATGTTTTCTTGCCTCTAGCATTACTGTCAAAACATCTCAGATTTCTGAAAAGCTATTTGGCAAAGCGTTTCTGATTTACAGAGATTCTGGTGGAGTTGCTAGGATCTATTTATATCACATTAGAGTTGTGTTCATCAGTGTTCTAACCCAATGCGCTTCTTCCAGTAAACATTAGTAACAAATACTTTTTTTTAAAGGAAAAAAAAAAAATTGAAGAGGTGGATTAGACATATCTTACCTACCCAGTACAGATGGAATTATTACTCTACTGTTGTCCATTAGAGAATTTCAGAAAATAAGACTGTAAAGGGTAGATTAACTATACTGAAATATGTGTTTCTTTATTTAGGCTTAATCTTTTATGACACAAAGGTAACTGTAATGAACAGAGTGCTGAATGCCACTGTCCAAAGAACTGCTGATCACGCAGCCCCAGAAATCACCCTGGATCCCTTGGAAATAGTTGGAGGTATGGGAAACACTTATCCTTTTCAAAATTCATTTTAATCCATTGCAACAAGTCAGATCTGTTTTTAACTAAGCTCAGATGCTTATTAATGCGAAATACTCTGAGTATGGGGATTTTTTTTTTCTTTTGTTTTTAAACAGGGGAGATCCGTTCTTCAGAAAATTCCTATTTCTGTCAGGCAGCAAGACAGCTAGCCTGTGTGCCATCCTCACAGCTCTGTGTTAAACTTGCCAGTGGTGGAGACCCTACGTATGCTTTCAACATTCGGTTCACAGGGGAGGAGGTTCATGGAACAAGTAAGTCGGGATTACGGAGTTACCAGCATGGGTGACATCAGGTACAATTGTGAGAACTTATTCCAGGTGGAATCCAAGTTTTCAGCACAGTATGGCTCGTGAACTTTAAGGAACAGCCTTACTTTTGTGGTGTTTGTAGTCCTGCAGATGGAAAAGAATGAAGCTTCCAAGAATTAAGCAAGCCAGATGGTTACTTTTCATATTTTAGTTAATACAGCAGGAAGTATGAGTGCCTGGGTGTGCAATTTTGCTAACTAGAGAAAGTAAATAAAGTGATAAGTTGTTTGAAGCATGGGGATATTTTTTAGTAAGAATATCTCTTCAGGTTGCTTTGATGCTCGGCCTGGTAAACCCAGACTGTGCTGATAATGAAGTTTTGTGGGTTTTGTTTTGGGTTTTTTTTTTTTTTATTTTATTTTATTTAACTACTTTCTTGTTAGTAATGACCTGGGTAATGCTACTGTGGTTTTTATTGTTAAAGCAATGTGAGATTGTATAGCCAATAGATAAAGATACCGTTAAATACTAGTATAGGATACGTTATCAAACATAGCTGTCAAGGAATATGCAAGCGTTAGCAATTAAAAATGGTCATGCCCAAGTGAGGTGGTTTTGAGAATTGTTTTCAACTTGACATCAGAAGTATGAACTTCAGCTTGTCCCAGCCAAGCTGAAGAGATGGCAAGTTTGGTAAGGGCTTTGTTGCTTTAAAAACTGTCCTTAATTTTTGCAGTAAATAGTATTAAAATTGCATCTTGTTCATTTTTGTGGGGAGACATACAGTATTTTTTTGTAATCATTTTAATAATTTTCATGTGACGGCTTAAAAGAATGAACCTCAAAGGAACAGACAGTTAACTGCCCTGACTTCATCTAACCAGTACAGAGACAGACTCCTCATGACATAGGACTACTGCTTTTCAACAGAAAGTGTTAAGCAATAATCTTACTTTATTAAACAAGCTTATTATGCCTTCTCTTCTCTTGACACTGTATTTTAATTTGTGAGGTCTGTGTGGATGCTGTCCAGCCTCATTTGGATATTGACTTCTTTTGGGGGTGCTGGCTCCCTTGGATGCTACGTGGGTTGCATGTACTCCAGAAAGAGACTTGATTTTCTCGGCTCTTGTTTAAATCTTGCTTTGCAGATCTGTTGAATAATTGATAGGGTATCAAGGCAAATACCAGCTGTGTGTCAAAGAAGAAAATTGATCACTGCTATCTAAATTAATGCAGTGTCTGTGTACCAATTGTAATAGGTCCTTTTTGGAGATTCATGGGGGTATTTGGAGTTAGAGAAGAAAAGCCCCAAATACTTCCCATATTACCAACTAGTGTCATCTATCAAATTGTGTAAGGAAAATTCTTGTCAGTGTGCATCTATTAGCTGAACAAAGGGTTCCTTGATGCCTTCTCTCAAGGGGAATTCTTTTCTTTTTAAGGTCTGTGGTGGTTAGTGACAGTATCTATAAAGAGAGAAATGTTACGTCCACAACTCAGCATCTGTAATGATTTCTGATGCATTGCCTCACTGCTTTTAGCTGTGGAAATGCTCGGTTGTATGAAGACAGCACCATTCATCTTCTAATCAAGTAACAAATTCCATTTGCAGGCCAACCGGTGTAACACATGTTTGTGCTAGTCTTACACATAGAGTGCTGGAAGACAAAGCACTTAAGAATTCAGCAGGAAGCAATTCAATGAATACTTTTTGCATGTAATTAAACTATTTAAATGTGGACTTGCATGTGAATAGTAGGCTGACACAGCCAGCATCTACCTCGCCCTTGTTTAAGCCCGTGTCTGTGCGGTCAGAGAGGTGTAATCTAAGGCATGAAACGTGATTTTGAGGAGAACGGCAAATTCTGGATTAAAAGGTAGTGGTAACAAGCCTCAGAGGGCATTTCATTATTTTTCTTTCCACGTTTCTTTTTCAGGTGGATCTTTCCGTCACTTCCTTTGGCAAGTTTGTAAAGAGTTACAGAGCTCCTCGCTCTCCCTTCTCCTGCTGTGCCCAAGCTCTGCAGTCAATAAGAATAAGGTGTGATACCTCAATGCAAGAAATGAAGTTGCTTTTCTCTTTCTGAATGCATGTGTTTGAACAGGAGTAGAACACATTCGGCTAGCAATAGAGAGAGAAGCTTCAGATCGATGACCCCTGTTAGCGTATCTAACCAGATAGGTCTCACATGCCTCATAAAACTGCAAATGGCTGTTGATGAATCCCCTGTTGCACTTCAAAGGGCATTGCAGGTACTTGAAGAAGTAACCAGGTAGTCAAAACTGCAAAATGTAGCAGAATTAAGACTCCTGGTCGAAGTTCACTTAGAGTGAATGTGGTTCAGTTGTCTGATTTAGAGATTGTCCATCCCAAACTAGTGAAGTCTTATTCTGCTGGTATTGCTCCAGGAATGTCACCAGGAAAGTCAGTCGCATTGGTAGTAGAGTAAGATGCTCCATCCGTGCTATTTAATGCATATTTAGTGTCCTCCTGTTTTGTGCAGTAGATGTATTGTAGAAACAAGATAAAGCTTATGGCCCAAAGAAGTTACAGTAGTTGAGGTATAGCTCCTTCCTAGGAGTATTCACAAGGTAGGAAAACGGCTCATTGCCTGCAAGACCAGCTACGTAGCAAACCTGGCTTTGCATATCCAGACTGTATTTCAGAAACCTCCCACAACCGAATGGCTTAGATATCGAACTGATAACAGACATACAGAAAAGTCTTGTGAACGCTGATTAACAGAGCTTGTAAAAGTGGGGCTTGATCATTAAATTATAAGGTAATGTGATATAGTATCATTGTGTAATACCGACTCCATGCCACCGCTCTGGAGTAAATCCTTTTGTAACCAACTAAGCAGTATTCATTGTGTTCAAGTCAGTATTTTCACAAGCCTGTTAACTTGTGGACCTGCAGGGTATGCATCAATTGTTAAATACTGGCTTGTGTGCTCTATTCTGTTTTTTTTTTTTTCCTAAAGGGGAAGTACATTTTGACGCCTAGCCCTATAACCTACGCGGAGGAGCAGTTATTCCATTTCTTTGGGCAGCTCTTGGGTATTGCAATTCGAGCAGATGTTCCTCTGCCACTTGACCTCCTGCCCTCCTTCTGGAAGACCCTGGTAGGAGAGCCACTGGATCCTGACGTTGATCTCCAGGAAGCTGACATCCTCACCTACAACTACGTCAAAAAATTTGAAAACGTAAGTAACTCTTTCACCCCCCACATTCCCTTTTTTTTTTAGGGTTCCCCCCATAAGCATGTTGTTCTAGTAGCAGCTAACTTTACTGCCTGCCCTAAATGGCAATGGCTGGCTTCATTGTCTAGCAGATGGTTTTTTACGTGAGCAGGGTTGTGAAGTGTTTTGACTCATCTTATGGGTGCAGGATTTTGCATCCTGATGGCTTGGAAGAGCTGCTCAGTCTCCTCTGCTGCCAGGCACAGTGGAATTAGGGTTTCTGAAACGTTTACTGGAACTTGGCAGTGCTAAACCAGAAGATAACCCACCAAAGCAATTACTGGCTTTCACTGTCCATGATGTCTCCAGATGATAGAATGAGTGCACTTTGTGCATTGTGGTGATACCTTAAATGAGTCACAAGAATAACACAGTATGATATGCTGGCCATCAGATACTATTCTTGTGTTTCATGACAGATCAACGATGAGACAGAACTGGAAGCTCTGTGTGCAGAAATTGCTTCTCAGCATCTGGCAACAGAGAGCCCTGACTGTCCTAACAAGCCGTGCTGCAAATTCACCTACCTGACCATGACGGGGGAAGAAGTGGAGCTTTGTCCCAGAGGCAGGCACATTCCAGTGGGGTGAGTAACAGCCGCCTTGGCAGGATGTTGCACTGGGTTACATGGGAAAGAAGCATCTCTGGAATAATTTTCCAAGCGCCAGGCTCTCCAGAGATGCTTTTGTAGCAAGCTGAAGGCTGGAATGATCTGGGAAAGCTTTACATTTGTTGGCAGGAACTTGGAATCACTATTTACTGCCTTTTGTTCCATAAGAAATAGACAGCTGAGGAGCGGTGCTTACGAGCTGTTTGCTGGCTTCAGTAAACACCCACAGTTAGGAGGCTTGTGAGAAATGGGCAAGTGTGAGAGAAGAGGAGGAAGCTGAGGAAAGCGGAATTAAATTGGGAAGCACCAGAATCCAAGTAGCTTAATGTTGACTCTCGATTATTCAAAAGCAGAATCTCCCCGTAAAACCCTTCTGTATGTAACTGTCTGGGGTAGGGCAAGAGGGCTCTTATACGCGCTCCTTTTTTGTCCTAAATCTCTGCCCTTGCAGGTGGGAGAACAAGGATGTGTATGCCACAGCAATCCGGAGCTTGAGGATGCGGGAGCTGCAGACTCCGGAGTGCATGACCGCAGTGCGTGCTGGGCTGGGGTCTATCATTCCCCTGCAGCTTCTGACTACGCTGACCCCTCTAGAGATGGAGCTGAGGACATGTGGGCTTCCGTACATTAACCTGGAGTTTCTCAAGGTGTGAAGAACTGCAGCTGCTTTGGCAAAATTTACCTCTCTGACAGGTGGACGAGAGGACCCTCCCACATGAAAGGTGTTAGGGGGGAATCTTCTGCTCGTGGTATAGCCAGGACAGTCCTCGTGGAACACTGGCCTGTACTTGGACACCCCCCTTTGCCCCCAGGGAAGTTTTTTAAGATTTCACAGGATTCAGGAAATAAATAGGAGTGGGGCTTGTTCCAGAGAGGAATAATGAATTTACTTTTTAACATCAAATTTTAAATCTATCTCCATTTTATTGAGCTTTATTTAATATTTGCCACTTGGGCTAAGGGCAGAAAGAGGCATTGCCCCTATTTTGAATTGCAAATAACTTCTGTAACAGGCAACTTCTGGTCCTAAATACTTTCTTTCATAAGAATTATGCCATAAAAAGAAGTGTTCTCTTGTGACAGAAGTTGTAGAATATTCTCAACCATGGGTGTTAGCGTTGTTTTGTGTTTTCCTTGAACAGCAGCAATGCTGAACTGCCCCAGCCCTGCATATTAAACAAAAAAGTAACGTACACTACCTGCACTGCAGGGGAGACACACTGAGACAAGCCTGTTGCGAGAACCTGGTGGTCTCTACCATGGCTGGATTTCCTAATGATTTTGAAAAGGCAGGAGAACTTGGGGAGAGAGGTGTAGTTACTGTCCCCTTCTATCCTCTTAAAGCGTAAGTGGGGAAGACTTACAAAGGGAGGTGAAAGCAGCAGTGGACGTCTTGCTTTCTTTTCTCTTAGGCACACACCATGTACCAGGTGGGCTTGATGGAAACCGATCAGCACATCGAGTTTTTCTGGAGCGCGTTAGAGATGTTCACTCAGGAGGAGCTCTGCAAGTTCATAAAGTTTGCCTGTAACCAGGAACGAATCCCCTTCACCTGTCCTTGCAAAGACGGAGGCCCCGATACTGCCCACGTCCCGCCGTACCCCATGAAAATAGCCCCCCCCGACGGAGCTGCAGGTATGTTTGCCCTCTGTCTCCTAAAGCAAAGAAACTCAGTTCTGCTTGCGTTGTGGTTCTAGCTTTCTGTTCCCCTTTTCTTTTTAATTTAAAAGTGTACTTAATGCATGAAGACTGGCAGAAGAGAGGTGGGTAGTTATGGCTGTAAATAAGAAGAGAACGAACTTGGTTTTAAACCGTGTGAAAAATAAAATTTAAAATAAACTTTAAGTACTTAAAACACTGCCCTCTAGAGACAGTAAGAGGTTTTGCATAGTATTTGTCTCATGCTTCTAAAATGATTGGACTGTCAGAAAAATACCAGCCTGAGGACCGACTGAGAAGCACAGCAGTATTTAAGGCTCAAGAGGCATGTTACAGGCAGGAATTTTATTGTTTTGATGCTTCTTAGTAAGGGGTGTGGGGGAAGGATGAGAACAATTACGGAGAATAAGGTGGAGTGTGGAGGGTGTGTTCAGACCCCTTCTGGTGCTGCTTCTGCAGGTTCTCCAGACTCCCGGTACATCCGTGTCGAAACGTGCATGTTCATGATCAAACTTCCTCAGTACTCCTCGCTGGACATAATGCTGGAAAAGCTCCGGTACGCCATACACTACCGGGAGGATCCGCTCAGCGGCTGAGTGGGAGAAGGGCATGCCTAGAGGTGACTGTTCGGGTTGTTTCACGGCTCTGCTAACGTTGGAAACCCTTCGATTCACATAAAAATACCTCCTGTAACACTGTGTGACGAGCTGGAGGTTGATTTATTTTCTGACCTTTTGTTCCCGTTACAATAATTACTGGAAGACTTACATTTTGTATTTGTAGACTTTGTGGTGGACTGGTTATTTTGCTGCCTTGTTTGTGGAATATTTGTAGGATAGTTTAGTAAAGACCAGTTTGTGTATAATTTAATTTTGAAAAACCTTTAAACATGTACATTTCTAATTTTGTAATTTAGAATGATATTACCCATGCAGACACAACAAAAGTGAGGGCGTGCTGAGTTTAGGAGCACTTGGAGGTGAAGGCTCGGTGAAGGCTCGTAGATCACTCTCCCCCAAAATATTTTTGAGTACAAAAATGGCAAGAATCAGGTATGGGGAGGGAGTAGCTGCTGGAGACTTGCAGGAACAGAGCACGGTACCTCTTCTGTCGCAGGCAGAGGTCGTGCAGAATTTCTAGCACTTGCTTGAGTTTTAGAGCAGAAAATACGCTGCCAAACTGCATGTTTACGTTTCCGCCATCTTCTTGTAACTTTTTAAACTATAAGCAAGCACATGGGTAGCTGGCACAGTTAATTTGGGGCTTCAGCTGGATGCTTTTGATTAGGAAGATTTATAATTGAAAGAACTGTGAAGGGGCCGTAATTCAGTTGGGTTCTTGCCCTAGATGTTCTTGAATGTCTGCTCTGCTTAGTAACAAAATAATTTATTGTAATTAAAATATTAGCAGAAACAAAATGGCTTCTCTCTGTGTGGTGTGAGATACCACAGTTCGAGCTTTCAATCTGTGACTTTATCCCATTTCCGAACAAGCTTTCAGAATAATCACTGTGTGGTTAAACACCTGGAACTCATCATTTTTGTACTCAAAAATGATCTTTGATCTAAGAGCAAGTTATCCTAGAAATGTGACACCCACAAGGAGAATGAGGTGGGGGGAAGGCACAAAGTTACACATTTGAAGATAAAGCTTCTATTTTCTATGGAAAGATAATAGCAGGCTATGGAGAGAGAACAATTCTCCAAGTTTAACTTTTGTATCTTGTGAAATACATTCTGGGGTGGTTTCCAAACAACACATCAACACGTGCATCTTCCTTTACTCGTATCAAAGCGGTTGCCCTGCACTGGGTGCATTTACAAGTGCGGCGTTGCTTTGTTAATCGCTTAGAGGCCGGCACGAGGGGGAGTTACCTGCGTGCTAAAGAACCGAAGAGAACACGCTGAGGTCGCTGCTGTGCTGCTCGGCTCGGTGCTACCTGCGCGTGCCAGTACTGAGCGATGAGTTTGTTATTTTCCTTCCGACGTACTTGGCGCGCATCAACCACACGAAAGGTCTACGACGGCGTGTAACTGTACTGTAGGGTCGGTATTATATGTCTCTTTAGCAGACGGCATACACTAATTTGGCTTGTCAGCTGTAATGGGAATTGAAAAAGATGTATTTATTGTATATTATTGTGAATATTGGGAATTATGAGTGTGTGGTATTTGGAAGATGTGAGTAAGAGAGAAAAGCCTAAACAAGTGTGTATATTCTTGTTCTTCTGTGAGCGAATGGAAAAACGTGCGTGCAACAGTTGTAGAGATAGTTGTTGGCATACGGAGTCTCCAAATCCTGTGGTTAGGAAAGCTGTGTTACCCTTCTATTGCATATTGCCCTTTCAAAGGAACAGATACACGTAGGAAGAATATTTACTCTTGAACCTTGTCCATTTCCTGGTAGAAGCATATATGTAGCTGAGAAATCATGCGGAGTAAGCGCAAACACACGTGGAGTTTACACAGACCAAGGGGAAAACTAAGCAGAAGGAACGGCTTGGAGCCGGTTTGTTCCCATCCGGCACGCGCGTTCCCAAACAGGTGCCGCGAGGAAACGTGAAGAAGGTCAGTTGAATTTCATGGCAGAACCGTTGTTGCTGACAACGATACATTTGGGGTTTCTTTCTAGCGATTGGATCGTGGGTTTGTATTGGGGTTTCAGTTGCCCATTTCAAGCCCTTAATGCGTTGGGTGGACGTGCAGTGCAGTCAAATACCTCACTCGCAGGGTTCAGGAACTCGGTATGCCAGCGTTTTCCAAGGCTGTGGTTACAGCTCTCAGTAAGAAACTGCTGCTAATGTCTGTTGTCTCCTTCCAGAGAGCACATTTGAGTGGAACATATCTGCGTCTTGGCCCTGAAAAGTGTGCTGTAAAGTTACTTGATACATATTTATTACAATTAATTATTTATGATTACGAATAACAAACTTTTAGTCACTGCTGTTTACACCTTGCTGTGTAAATGAAGCTTCTTATACAGGAGAAATGTCACACCAATAAATAACCTTCATTGATTTTGGTTTTTTTCTGAAGAATGGTATGAGCCCGGCATGAGTTGTGGTGGGGTTTTTTTTTTGTTTGTTTGTTTTTTTTACATTACTAGGAAGGAAGTGCTGCAGTGGTTCAACTGTAGCTCAAATGGCCTTTTAATTAAAGCTTTTCTAATCATTGTTACTTCCTTGTGCTTTAAATGAACTTGACATTGTCTGTAATAGGCCTGTTTGTCAAAGCAAAGATTGGTTTGTGACTTTTTTTAATATATATTCATTCAGAATGTAAAATTATACTAAACAATGGAAAAAAACCCTCTGGAGCTGGGTATTAGTTCTAGCTTGGTGTGTGTCCATCCTGGTACCGTACACGGCATTAACCTGTTAAGTGCTCTTGGCCATACAGTGTACACTTGCATAAAGGAGATTCTTAACATCCCTTGAGATGTATTGTGTCCTTATTTGGGGCTGGAAATAATTAAAGAAGTCCTCCACTGCTGAAGCTGCGTTGATGCAGAGGATTAGAACTGCTAGAATGAAGTTGCAGGTCATCTGCTTTTAAATCCCACTTTTTATGGGTTAATACACTGTAATTTGTATTTACTTGGAACAGAAATGTAAATATTTTGTACAAAAGGGAAAGCAAGCACAATGATTGCTAATATTTCTCTTATGGGAGAAAGTGCAGTATTTGTCATCCCTGAGGAATAATGCAGGCTAAGCCACACTGTCAGCTCGGTAATTAGTTATTTTTCATACTTACAATTTCTGAACAAGGCATCCTGTAAAGCTTCGCAAACCAGAAGAGCCAGCTTAGATTCCCTTATCTTGCCATAGCAGTCTTCCCCAGAAATGCCATCTCAAGGTTGGTTGCCACCTGTTTTTAAATACCTTTATTCTGCTTTTCTTGTATAAATAAACGCTTAACATTTGGTGGAAGCGTCCGTAAAATGTCTTTATTTTAAAACCAAGAGCACGTTGGCCATCATTAGTCTTCCACGCTGCAGCCTGTGGGATGGTGCTGGCAGCGGAGATGAGGCCTCCAGCACCAGCCTGGCCCTAGGAGGGTGAGGGGCTAACGAGCCCTGCTGCTGCCATCTCTGCCCCCACTTAATTACACTGATGCCCCGCAGTCATTATCTAAGCCAATTCCCTAATGCCATGCCAAAGCACAAGGGATGAAATGGCTCTCGTAAAGCAAATTAATAGGTAGTAACATGGAACACAAATTAACAAAGCCCACTGCCTGTGATTCTGACTTTGGGGTGATAAACTTGCCCTCAAAGAACATCTGTGATCCCGCGTCACCTCATGTAATAGGGGTTTACTGCACAATGGCTTGGGACATCATTAGATAGATTTTATTACAAGGAATTTAAAAAGCATGGACTAATACAGCATTAAAAAGCGCTTTACAACATAGCCATGGGCTCAGAGCTTCTCCCCGATGATCGTAATCCCCCTCCCCATGTCCTGGGCACGTCCGGTACCAACCCGTGCCGTGGCACACCGTGCCGCTCG